ACAGCGCGAGGTGCGTCGTCTCCCGCAAATCCGGCCTTGCACATACCGGATCCATTGTCTACGACAAGGGCAGCTACTTCGTCGTCGCACATTGTACTATCTTCTTATCTCTGAAAGGAAAATATAATATTCCTAATTAGATATATATTTGAAATATGTTCAGGATAATATACTCAGAAATTTTGTAAGTTTCTCTTAAAGAGAACGCACCGATATTACGGACAAACTAAGAGCAGTATAATGTAGCAATCGCGAGGGTGAGCTGTGAATCAGTATGTAGCTACGGAGCGGCTGAGGCTCGCAGGCGCTGCGAAGCCAGATATAACGCTCGCGTATCGTACGCGACGCTACCGAAGATGGGCACGAGGGACGTCTCCAGGGCTGCCCAATAGATCTACCCACGCATAATGGGAAACTTACGCAGTGCTTCGACCGGGACGACGCGTAACCAGGAAACCTTTCAAGCTAAATATTCAAACATTGGGTGTATCATTGAGTGCTTGAGGGTGGACTATCGCGTCTTTTGGACATCCCTGACTACTCGAGAAATATGCGTCAATCCCCACTGACGCTTTTCTTCTGTTTTCTTCATCCTCTTCCACTTCTCTTCTCATCATCCTTTTTATTTTAACATCCCTCTTTGTCTCAACCGTTTACTTCCCTCAGCCTGACGATACATCCAAATTTGGCTATTAACTTGGAAAAGCAGTTAATTCTTTACCTAAATTTCCATGCAAAATTATCAATACCCAATTGAATTTTCTTCTTCATTTTAAGGTAATATCACATTATACACTTCTTTTAATGCTATCTTTTGCATTTGATTGTGATACTTTTTTATTCCGATGCTGCTTTACGTCATTTTTACTATTGCAATAATTATAATATTATGTTTATCTTCAATACATCTCGTTAAGATCTCATTTTCATTTATGTTGAAAAGAAAATATAAGACAGACTATTTAAAAAGTTACATTTGATCAATGAAAACTCAACTGTGGATAACACAGTTACAAGTTCTTATTGTATTCATCTTTTATCATAATATTATGCAAATAATATTAACATACTAACATACGATAACTAATAACTGTTGATTTCCATTTTTTAGCATTATTCTGCGAGTATTTTGTAACAATAAATGCAGCCACTATTTATCCGTACAATTGTATTGAATGACAATGTTTTCCATTTGTATTTATTCATTTACAATTCTTCCCTGTACGTATTAGGAAGTTTAATATACATTTACTTATTATATATACGTTCTCTTTACATTTATAAATCACATTAAGTAAGTATACAGCTTTTCTATTTAATTCTTTGCGATTTTTTTCGCTTTATCGCCAAATAATTAATAAAATAAGAATATTAACCATTAGATTTCTCGTTGCATTTTCTGGTTAACCCAAGCTCGATCAGTAAATGCTACAACTTATGGATATAAAGTATAGGATATAAGGCAGAATAGAAAAGAATATATATATATATATATATATATATATATATACATGAGCCGTTTATTTTGAAAATGGCATAAGTCACTTTTTATTTTTTTTAAATGAAAAGATACCGTTCAATTGTAATTATTGTTGCCATTAACTCGATTTTTTTTGAAATAGTGACTTATGCCACTTTTAAAATAAACGGCTCATATGTGTATAATATAAATTTAGTATACCTTATACTATCTACGATTTTAAGCGGATCACGGTATTTTGATCACAAAGATATTTCAACTAAGAAATTGAAATATTTTTTCTTGTTACATAATATCATATTGTGTTATTTTGATAATATAATAACAAATCTATCGCCACCTCTAATTTCTTGTGGCATAATTTCTTCTTATATTGATATTTTTTTAAACATGTCTAATTAACAAATACTTTTATTAGATTATCATTTTTATCTACTAGATAAATTTGCATTATTGTTAGCTAATTTAGCTTCAACAAATTTAAAAGTGCATTTTTTGTTCAAACATTTTAATTTGAAAAATTCCTCAGAGACAATTTAAATGTGACATAACCTACAGTCAGAAAGATGAAAGATAAGAACGAGAGCAAATTACACGTAGCATTGTAAATAAATATATACTAAAGAAAAAAATATAGTTTTAATAAAAAGCGATTTACTAGACATAATCGGTCATTCTATATAATATAAACAAAATAATGCAGTTTTACACGAGACATATTTGAATGGACATGTGGCGCAATCTTAACGATATTTTTGAAACCAAAAGTCATAAGTATTATACGTATATATACATATGGTTACAAACCATTATTAATAAATTAACGAGTTAATAAATAAATAAATATTGAAATGAGAAAGAATTGATAAAAAACGGGTATTAGAATGACTTGTGGAGAAATAAGTTGAATTTTGGAGAAAAAAGGTTTACATTTATTCTACAATTACCATAAAAATAGTGTGTTTCCATAAAAGTTCGAGCGAGTGGATGAGGGCGACACTAAGCATCTATAAGAGATGTTAACTAGTGTAAATGTATCTCTTGTATACTATTTGTCACCCTTGATTTTTTCTGACAAACGTCATCGTCCCAAAATATTGAACTACGTAAGAGGAAGATAATAAAATTGAGTGAAACGTTATTAATCTGCAGAGTTTTTTTAACTGCTAAGGAGTAAGGCTAATTGTTGAGGAATAAGAATAAAATTATTAAATACAATGGATAAAACTAAGATCGATACTAATTTCGAATTACCACCTCTTCGGAGTTTAGATGATTTTTTGTTAGAATCCGCTCGTTTTCAAATACCAAATTTTAAAGATTTTGATAAATGGGGCAACAGAGTCGTCAATAATATGCTTTATTATCAGACAAATTACTTGTTCATGGCTGTGATTATTTTTCTCATCGTAGGGTAAGTGCAAAGTTAAATTTTTTTCTCTATAGAATATAATCTGCGTATATGTATATGGATACGTATATTTGCACATAGATAAGCATATGCATATGCATATTTGCTTATAATAACCGTTACAATTAATGTTATAGTACAATATTGTAAACATTGTTTTTACAGATTAATTCATCCTGTCAAAATGTTCGTTGGAATGATAGCAATGATAATAATTTTAGGAGGTTTTGCTTATGTATCAACGGAAGGAAGATTGATACATCAATTTAAGCAACAATATCCAGGTGTAGGTATAATTGGCATAATATTGGCAGCATGTTTTGCTACGTACACCTTAGGATCTCTCTTAGTTTTTCTACTTGGCATTCTGTTACCATTTTCAGGTAAGTTTAATCATTTCGATAACACTTCTATAATATAGAATAATAATTGATTAATCATCTCTTACAGTTATATTTGTACATGCTTCTTTGAGATTAAGGAATATAAAAAACAAACTTGCTAATAAAATTGAAGGTATTGGCTTGGCACGAACACCGATGGGTATATTTTTGGAACATCTTGGTATGCAAGATGAAATTTTTGCATAATTTCAGCATATTTTTATAGCAAAACATTTCTTTTTAAACGATAATAAGTTAATACGATTTAATATAATAACAGTTTTGCGCAATAGTATTAATATATATTGATATTAGCTTATGCTGTGATGAATCTTATCGCTTCAAATGGATTTATCTTTTTGTAATATCTATGGCTATAGTTATATACAGAGACATTAGATATATTTCTTATGTACTTATTTTATTATTCATTTTGTCTATATTTATAGACTAAACATACAAAAGATTTATTCAAATTCTTGATATTTTACATATAGGATGGATATACGATTAAGATACGTATAATTTATTTATTGTAATCTATATATTACATGAATTACGTCACATGATATGAATTCATTTTATTTAATGTTTTAACAATATATGTATATATACATATATTGTTAAATATATGTGTTATAATATATATACACATGCATACGAATGTAAGATATTCTTACACGTTATAAACCAAAGACAGAGAAAAATGCAAATTATATATTTAATCGGTAAATAGGAAAATATACAATCCAATACCGAGACACTAATAATTCATATTTTTTATTTGATTTTTTTATTTATTCTGCTTGTATAGAATATTCTATATGTGTTATTTGTAAAACTGTATATTTACTATTATTAATATATTACATATATAGTAAAGCAAGAATTCTAAGAAAGAAAAACATTATCTTGCTTAGTACTGTGTAATTTATGAAAGACTATCATTTTTTTCAGTATATATTTCCTAATTTGATATTATGTATCATAGAATGTAAATAAAATTGTAGCAGAGCTTCCTCTTTTTCAAGGCTTAATGTCTATATTTTAATATATATATTTTTATTTAAAAAGTAGTATATATAGTTTATAATATTCATCCCAAAATTGTTCTTACGAGATAAACATTTCTAATGAATCATTTGTAAATATATCTATTAAGCTACATAGTCCTTTTACATTCCACTAAAAAAAAATTATTTTCTTTAACGTTTTTCAATGAAATTTGATTATTTTTAATTTTGCAATCAAATTTATTTTTATATATATCTAATCTTTCATTATTTTTCATTGATTGTTTTAAACAGATGTGAAGAGTGCGACGTTACGTTACCAAAAGTATTTTAATAAAATACGCGACTAACAACCAGCTTTCAAATATGCAATTGTACTATATTTAATGGCTTATGTATAATGGTCATCCATAAGAATCATTACTTTCCATGGAAAACAGGCTCTTCATATAATATTAATTATATTTTATTACCCTGTAATTTATACAATCACACAATTTGAATATACTTTATTAATATAAAAATGAAGTCTATAAATAAAATTTTATATATCGTTTATGCAAAAGGAAATAGACGTTATTAACATATATATATATATATATATATAAATATATACGATTGATACATATTAAATGATAGGTACTAAAATATTTTTACAAATAAAATTAATAAATATATAAATATAAAATATATAAATTTTTGTCAATAACCAGATCTTCCTTGTAAATTGAATTATAGGCTACACCTTTATCGTATTTGTATATTAAAGAAAATTAATGTACAGTGTTAAACACCACTCCGGGTTAAACGAGGAACTCATTTAAATTTGATTTAAAAACAAAACGGTAAATAAAACGATCTCGTACGTTAATATTTCTCGGCTCAAGTAATAATAATTATTCGTCTTGAAAGCACGTATGAAATCAGAGACTTTCTATCGAGGTTTTTTTCCCGATCTTCTTCATATCGATAACCTGTCGCCTGGAAACGTCCTTCAGCCTAGGACGACTCAAGCCAACTCGCAAAAATTGGATAAACAGAAATTTGGAATGTTTTAATTGAGCGTTATCCTGCAGTATATTTTCAATATACAAAATGCAGAGTATACGATTTATAATCGTAATAAATTTTGCTTGATATATAATTGGATTGACTAATATTTTGGAAGAAATATTTATATATTGTAAGGCACCTTATATAATTTTATAATTTCTTACGCAAACGATGTGAATATTTGTTAACGTGACCACATATAAAAATACATTTGTTGCCAATGTGGTAAATATTTTTCTATCGGTTCTGTTAAAAGTTTAGCCAAAGGCACTTTTTTAGATAAAATGTTTAGTATTGTTATTATTTTAAGACGACTATAAGTATCATAAAAAGGGGAACGTAAAATATATAACAGTATACTTAATCTTCTTTGATAAATTTCATTCCATTCTTCTTTGTTAAGTGCAGCTGCTTTTCCATAATGACTAAATAACTGTAAACTGAGAAAAATATTATTTAATACTTTGAATACTTTTTCTTCTTCTTTCGTATAAATATATTTGAATAAAAATAAAAAATTCTTTGCTACCTAGATAAATCAATGATTAAAGACAAAAACCATGGTTGCCAATTCGTTTTTCCAGTTGCAGATAAACAACCAAGATGAAACAATGGTTTTATTATATAAAGAGTCTGAAAAGAAAAAAAAACAAGAAAAAAAGGAAGAAATTATAAAATATAATAAGGAGACATATGTGTGACAATAAGAAACGTTAGATATATTATAGTTTAAACAAACCTCTGCCAACATTAACATTCGTTTAGATACAAAAGCATTATCAACGTTCTCGTTTTCATCTCTCATAGACGATATAGGTGTCCAAACTCTTGTTTCTATAGATCTAGAGGTTTTAATACTCCTAATTACGATACCACTTCGTTTCAATTGAAAACCTTCTTTCATTTGAATATCTTTGTCATCTGCTTGATTTATTTTTTTCTTATTGAGCGGCTTAATGGAAGGCCTTTTAATTACATTTTCTTTGTAGACATGTATCAAACACAATCTCATCACAGCTCTATATAAGCAAAGAAAAAAGATTTTAAATAAAAACTTTGGCAATATTTGATTGTAATGAAATTAAAACGAGAGGCTTACTTAAATATTTGTATGAACATAATAATAAGCCATTTTCCGGACTTTCCCCAAATTCTATGTGCAGATACCTCGAATAAAGCTTCCGTATATTCTAACACAGTTAACCAGATATTTATTTTTAATTGCAACTTTGGTATCTTCGAATTCATATATTTACCACCGGATATCAATAAATCATTAAACAATTCAATTAAATTTGGTATGGAATAAATAAGTTCAGATGCCAACGTAGAATTGTTATATCGACCTACAAGAGAAGATTTGTCAGAGAATAGAAATGTCCTAAGAGAAGGAGAAATACAAATAGACAAATTTATTACCAGCTGTAAAGTAAGAAAAACATCTTACTGTACTCTCCAAGTCAGCCAGTAATTGTGGATTACATTGCACCCAATGTTTATAAGATGAAATCAATTCAGAGAATCCTGAATTGATGGCATTCATGATTGATTAGACGAGTTGACGATTGGTTCAATTGAGAGTTATCTTATAATAACTAATCAATTATTTATTGTTTATTCAAAAATAAATAAACCTTTTGTGTACCTTCATGAATGATCGAATGAAAATTTCACTCTATATTTTGTTCATAATTGAACTTTGACATTTACGATCAACTTGACAACCCAACAAAATGACTGTCCAATAATTTATCTTTCAAAATTTAATGACAAATATTGACGAGTTGGACTGTAAAATGAATTCAACCAATCTTACCGAGTTATTGACCAACCAGTACTACCAACTAGGGAAGGGGAATTTAAAAATCATTGGTCTATTTTTGGACTTTTACGACCGATGAATTGGAAATATCGATTTTCCGATTAATCGATCACGGATCGCCATCCTTGTTACGAACCAACCAGCCGCACAAATATTCAATAATTTTGTATAATAAGTTAAATTTAATATTTATAAGATGATGAATAAACGAAGATGCATTGAATATTGTCTTTCATTTGCTTTTTGTTCATTGAATTCAATGACATTTGTAATTCTCTTTTAATTTAAATTATTCTGAATAATTTGTAATGATTTTGTCGCCACGTGCATTCACCCTACTGAACATAACCAATATTGTGTGTGTTGATCATTAAGTAAATTTACTGCAACATATATAAATGATAAATATATAAAAGAATAATGGAAGAACCAAGAGAAAGGATAGATGAGAAAATAGAAATACAACTCTTGACGAACGTCATCGATAAAGGTAAAGGAATTTTATAACGTGTATATCATACATATTTATTTATCTATGTATCATTTTTCTATTAGTATGCGACGCAGTTATCGTGAACAAAATATTAGAAGGAGAATACGAGGATGTAATTATTGAAATAGTAACTGCTAGATTATCTGAGTTGCTTAATAATAATGACGATTTGCAAGAAATCGTATATGAGGATATAGAAATGAATAAAACGAATAGCAATGAATGGCTATGCCTAAGTATAGCAAGTTTGTTTCATTTTGTTAAATATAATTGGACGGGTCCGATTATGGACGATGGAGGAATTGAATTATTATCAGTTAAAAGAGAAGAAGCGCTCAAGTATTTATCCTTGCACGATGAATGTAACGAAAACGTTAAGAAACCAGAATTTCTTTATCTTTCGAAAATAATATTCTCTAACGAGTATATGCAAAAGAGATATCCAAGTTGCATGTGGTGGTTATTGAGAAGCAATCTACTGCATCAATTTATATTAGAGGAAACTTCAGGGACGATATTTGAAGAAATAAAAATGTTAATCGCTAATATCGATACTTCACATATTTTACAATCTACTTTCTGTCAAGTTTTGTTTAATCTTGAAGTTGCACAATTTTATTTCTACTACAAAAGAATAGAATATTCAGAAAGATATTTGGCGCGAAGTGAAGAAATTGCTCAAATTAAAATGGAATTGCAAGGTGTTATGGGTAAGCGAACGAAATATCAAGAAGAAGAGAAGCCGCAATTATTTTTAAAAGTCAATGTGGAAAAAGAGGATGCATTAGAGACAAGATCTTGTAAAAACTTACCAAAGTCCTTAGATTTAAATGACGAGTTAAGACTAGAACGTATACAATTTTCTACATTTCAGGATGAAACTAAATTAGGAGCATTGGGAGAAGCCATTGTTTTAGCGAGACAGTAAGGATTTTTCCTTTCTCTCTATGTAAACAGATTTTAATAACAATGAACTTGTCTCAATAAAATGATATTTTCTTTGTTCTGTAGTACCCAGCTGCAATTGTCTCAGCCAAGAGATAAACTTACGGATGAAGAAATTATTCCATACGTAATTGTGAGTATAATAAAGTAATCTTTTTAAAAGTTCATTGTGCAGTTATATGTAAGGCAATAAGAAGAAAAATTTCTTTCCTTACAGAAAGTAATCGATAATACCAAAAATTGGTCGCTAAAAATGACAGCTCTTTGTCGTCGATGCATTTACGAAGCTAATGACAAAAGAACTGTAGAACGTTCGATGCTACAAGCTGAATATTTATTAAAAGAAATTTATGATTGTAAGGTTCCAGTCACAGAAAGACTGGACATATTTTTTTCCAGCGGAATGAAGCCTATATGGATGTTGGAAAAAATGTTAGCTAATCTCATGCTTAGTCTTGGGTTAGTAAAAGGGGCTTTAGACTTGTTTATCAAGTTGAAACTTTGGGAAGATGTTATAGCTTGTTATAACATTTTGGGATTAAAACAAAAAGTAGGATTTTCCCTAATTTATATACATACACCAAATATAATCTGTAAAGTAATATTTTTAAATGATATTATATGAAGTACTTTTAATGATTTTAATACAAATCTAGTTTAACTTCTATATAGGCTGCAGAAATTATACACCAAGAAATTGCTAAAAATGCATCTGTTAAATTATGGTGTTTGTTGGGAGATGCAACTGGCGACGTAAAGCATTATGAAACGGCATGGAAATTATCAGAGGAGAAAAGTAGTCGTGTACAGAAGCACTGGGGATTCTTTTATTTTGGACAAAAAGACGTATGTATGAATAGAATCACTATACTTGTACAAAATTAGCTCTAGTAACTAATTATTTATTAAACCTTTTTCTATATATAGTATGCCCAAGCTATACCACACTTAAAGTTGTCAGTCGAATTAAATAATATCCAAGAGAATGTATGGTTGAGACTTGGCTTTGCAGGATTACAAATGGAGGATTGGAAACTAGCGGCAATGGCATATCGACGATATTGTGCTTTAGAACAAACGGTTTGTCAATTTCTCATTATTTATACCTGACTTAGAGTTAAACAATGACTATACTTCCTTTTTACGTATATTATTCTTTAACATGAATTTCAGAATTTTGAGGCATGGAACAATTTAGCAAAAGCATATATAAAATTAGGTGATAAATACAGAGCATGGAAAGTTCTTTACGAGGCGATTAAATGCAATCATGATCGTTGGGAAGTTTGGGATAATTTGATGGTCGTTTCCATTGATTTGGGACAGTTTTTAGAAGTATTATTATTTGTATTCATCTAATTTTGTAGTATAAAATATATAGTTAAATATTAATAATTCGCTCATTGCAGGTAGTAAGATGCTATAATCGCATTTTAGACTTAAAAAACGAGCATTTAGATATTCAGATTTTAGAAATATTAACGAATGCTATTGAAAAGAACATTAAAGATGCCGACGGCAAATTATGTAGAAATTCGTTACTTGTACCGACACTTCAATTATTCGGAAGAATTACATCTAAAAATACATTTAATAATTCAGATCTTTGGAGATTATATTCTGAACTAACGCTGCTTAAGAAAACGGACGTTGATGATCAGAAGGCTATACAATATTTGCAGAAAGCATATCGTGCTGCTGTTTCAGACTCCAAATGGTACCGAAAGGAAGATACAACTCTATCTGTTTTACAATTGTGCTGTAAATTATCTCAGACGTATTTACGTTGTTCGTCTTATTGTGAAGATCACGTAAAGTCGAAAAAAGCATTGCTAGGCAGTGCTAAATTAACATTACAAGGAGTTGTCAGAAAGGTCAAAGACATATATTCAGAAAATGCTATGGTAATGAAAAGTTTACAAGAAGTTGAAAAATATTTAATAGAAATTTTAAATCAACTGGAAAAATTATGCCAATTAACGCCCGACAAGTTTTGCTAACATTTTATATGTGCTAATAACTTGTTCTCATTGCTAATTACACTTGCAATAATAATAATAATAATAATAATATTGCTCAATGCCAAAACCAGAATTTAGAATCCGTAAAGTCAATGTTGGACATATTGTACTTCAATACAGAAAGCCGTCTAACAAATACTTTTCTCATTTCAATATTTTGTAATTGTCTATAATTATCTGCAAGCATGTCTTCTCCATTTGATAATATCCTAAATCTATTCATCTAACGGAATATAATATTAAATAACAGATTATTTAAATTATTATTTTTAAAACGAGAAAAAAATATAAAAAATTAACATAGGATTATACCTGCTGAAATGAAATTTTTACTGGCGTTGAAAAAATAATCCAAGTTACTGTTTCGCTACATGGTGGTACCGTCAACGAACCCTTATACGTGTAAAAAGTATCTGTATTTGTTGGCATTAAAGAAGACAGAGTAATTGAGCTGTTCATATGTTTTTTTTTGTTCACCCACTTTACATCGCTTAAAATATTCAATATGGGTTTGAGATTTTCGTTGTCTTGTTCCTGTAACTAGAGACAGTTTTACGATTAAATATAATCGTTTTTGTCCTAAAAAATGATATCAATAAATTTTCCTTACTTGAAAAAATATTCCTAATACGCTAAGACCATCCTGATAATTCAGGGCATGAGAAAAATTAGAATAAGCTGCATTTTTGTGAATTATATGCATTTCCATTGGGAATCTGCAATAATATTGATAATATAGTTGTAAAGGAAAGAAAAAAAGACCAGTAAAATCTTCACTATATCTAATACCTAACATTATTGAATGTATGCTCAGACCCTCTATTATTTTTCGCACCCCAATGAAAGTGTAAGCTTTCCATTTCATACATTTGGCCTTTCTTTAGTGTAGCTCCAAATATATAAGGTATTTCTGACTGATTTCTTGATATATTACGGTTAATATTTAAAGTAACTAGAAAAAATATTTATAAATTTCTTGATAACTTAATTATATTATGTATTTACATAGTTACCAGAGTGGCCATTATTTTCTACTGTAACAGGAAGTGGAAGCAAATCGTGATATCCAATCATTTCCAAAGCAGGTAAAGCCAGCGGGATAGAATTAGAAGATGATAATGCTATCGGAGACTGCAATTTTCCAGCGCATAACTTGAATTGTTTTGCCCACATGTGTTGATCTGTGTTGTATGATCAATTTAGAAAAAGTCGTTATAGTATAAACGTTATTATAAACCTAAAGTTTACCTCGTTTTCTATAGCCAAAGTGGCCAAAAGTAAATGGTACTAGAAAGAAGAAGATAGCGTATCAATGAATTTGATGCTTTTTACTTTGATAGAGTTTATCTACTTACACAAAATCAGTAGAATCATAATAAAGTTAGATTTGTGCATCTGTAAATATAAATATCAATGTTAATGATAGTTGATTAAAAATATAAGAGATCAAATTATAATTAGATTTATATAGAATTAATGAAATATCGTGAATAAATTATTTACTTTGGCTCCCATGATATTACTGACTGTATTGACAAGGTGCATATGCTAGACTGAGAGAATCGCGCACTGCTACTGTGCTTATTATTCATTCCTTTCTTTATTCATTATGAATTCGATAGAACACATTCTATCATTGAACACAAATTTGTATAACAAAAGTTTCATTCGAGTCACATTTTTATTTCTCGAATAATAAAGCTACAAATAATTGTAGCTACAAATTATTCACATGGTTAGATAATGTGCATATCTAGATTATCCTAAAATTAAATTATAATGAATATTTGAAAAATGTATTTCATAAGAGTGATCATCTCCGAAATGTTACTTATTTTCATTCGTAGATTAATGTGCATAATGTCATTATTTGCGTTTTAAAAGATCAATTATCTGCATTACCATTTACAAAATATATATAATTAGCATTCATTTTAAACATCTGTCACTCAAATGGCATCGTATGTAACAACAGATACATGGAAACAAAATTTACACACCTAACAGACATATTACATAATTACAAGATTACAAAAGAAAAGAATACTTCTTGAAAAAGTTACAATTATTAAAATTACAAAAGAAAATCATATTCAAACAGATTGGATAAATGATGAAAATAAATATATCTTAAGAATAATATAATATTCGTTTTTGAATTATACAAGATTATTATCTTTATCTTTTAAAAGGTTCTGGCTATGAACATTTCTCGGAGCATTCTTATAACAAGTCAGTTTTTTATTAAATAACTTATATGCAATTTACTTGTTTTCCCTTTGTCCAGCTTTTTATTATGATATGCATTGCGCCACAAGTAAAATCGAGCTAATGGTTGCTTAATATAGGGCGTTATAAAAGCAATTAGTTATCATTTTATTAGTTTCAATGATTTTATTCTGTTATTTATTTTATTGTAATTTTTCGTTGTACTCAATTGTAGGCACAAATATATGTCTACTATAATGATTTAAATTATAAAAAGTATAGACAAAACCCATCTTCTTAAACATCTCACTGCATATGAATCTCTACTGTTGCTTCCAATACTAATTGTTCAGCGATGACAGAAACAGCAGATTCGCGTCTTTCTTGGTTGTGAGTATTATCTACAAAAATCACAGATACAAAGACTTTGATTCATTGCTAAGCAAGAGCGATTATTAAATTACCTGTACATTTCTTGTCACACTTAATGATTTTTTGTCTTTCTTGAAATCGTCTCATATTTAATTCTATCAATACAGGACCAAATATCCAATATCCTAAACAACTTCCAATGACAAGAACAATACTAATATATACATTATATGTCATAACTGCCATCATAAGCATATAACCAAGGGTAGTATGAATAGACCAATGAAGTACTTGTAACATCCATTCGCTGCAGTTTGCGCTAATAATAGTAAATAATCATGTTAAGCGTTAGCTTAAAATTATATTTCTCTTTCGTTAGAAAAATTTACTGCATGGATTATGTATTATAAGAATTATTATTGTACAAAATAATACCAATTCCTAGAAGAAAAAGAAGCAAATGATCTTGGCGACATTTCAGACAATAAAGAAGAATTCTCTGAAGATCTAGAAATGGAATTTGATTTGAATATCGCTATTTGTTCCAATTTAATCCGAGATATTTTCATAGCCTCGTATAATATTGCAAGACTAATTAAACCTATACAAGTAGAGATAAAAGTACTAGCAGTTGAAATGTTGTACCCTGGAAACAAGAATGTACCCAGGTCTTCTCCGAACCAATACCACCTATGCATCTAGAAAAATATTTACAATATGATGTACAATTAATTGTAAACGATGTTAAATTTATATTTACCGTAATTGCTTGCAATATCTTTTAAAAGTAAAAATACATTTTCATATTAATGCACTGGTATGATAAGAGACATATATATCTAGTTAATCACTCATTCTAATATCTACCTAGCTTTACCCAAAAGACCATTGTTTACAATTACTTGTACATAATTGTAGCATTATCTATTATACATTCTTTAATGCTTATCACTAAAATCACGTTTCATATCAACGACAGAATAAATAAAAAATGTCTTTATTCAATTCAAGTTAAAATAGATAAGTATGAGATCTTAAGATTTTATTATTGACAATATTTTAAAAAAGAAATATTTAAATTAACATTGAAACGAAAGTTTTCAGGTTAGACGTCTAACCTCTAAAATCACATGCTTTTAAACACACATACTTATATATATATATATATATATATACTTAACAATTATAATGCTATTCATTATTGTTTACATCTCATTGAAAAATTAATACATAATATCCAAAACTAAAAATATCAACGATCGTTTTTACGAATGTATTTATTTATATAATACATATCCGTAAACGTGTTGTATTTGCGTGAATCTATGTACACATGAGTCTAGGCATGCGTTAGTCTATGCATGCGCGAATCAACGCATGCGTGAGTCTATGCATGCGCGAATCAACGCATATGTGAATCTATGCATACGCGAATCAACGTATGCGCGAATCTATGCACACGCGAATCAACGCATGCGCGAATCTATGCATACGCTAATCAACGCATGCGCGAATCTATGCATACGCGAATCAACGCATGCGCGAATCTATGNAATCAACGCATGCGCGAATCTATGCATACGCGAATCAACGCATGCGCGAATCTATGTATACGTAAATCAACGCATCCGTGAGTCTAGGCATGCGCGAATCAACGCATGCGTTCTCTTTATGCAAACGTAACGTCCAATATACGAAAATCGACGAAAATGGCGACAACGACGAGATTATACGAAATCGATAAATAAATAAATACTTTTCTCCTCCGCAGAAAAATAAGCAGTTTCAAAGAAATGTCTTCTATATCGTGCTTGTGTTTCGTCAAAGGAAACAAATTCTTTTGCCAGGTAAGTCAAGTATCTGTTCATCCTTCTATGATCGAAATTAAATCATAAGAATTATGGATATTTGCTTTCATTTAACATTTAACGATAACAAATGTATGTAATTTTAATTAAAATTTTTAATAAATTATGCATATAGTTAAATAAATTGTTTTAGATTGATGAAGATAACATTACAAATAAATTTAATTTAACAGGGTTAAGTCAACGAGTGCCATACTATCAACAAGTAGCAGATTTGACTTGAAATCATTCATATTGAAATTTATATTGCATTTACTTTACAACAGTTTGTACCATTTACAGATTATATGTCTATCAAATTGATTCATTAGAATATTGGATGCAGCAACGATCTGTGTCAACCATCGCAACACTGTTACAAGCTTTTAAAGACGAGATAAATGGAAGACGTTAAAAGAGCTTTGATACACTCTAAATATAATTTCTTATTGGATATAAATGAAATATTATATTTTATATCTCTCCTAATATGCCTTTGCAGAATGCTGTGATTCAGACCATTTCGCAATTAAGTTAAATGGGAAGAATAATCGATCAGCTTATTAATTTCGATAAGAAATTTGGAAAGAATTTAATAGTTCATTCAAGTGATCATTATGTTAAAATATAATTACAATATTACCAAGTAGTTCCTTTGTATGACCTTCGTATTAAGATTGAACCATTTATGCGGAAAATATAGCTGTCAAGCTTATCAGATAGAGTAAATGCACTAAAGAATTATTTATTAGTTGTATTTAAATTTTCTTTTCTAATAAATAAAACTTAATAGAAATAAAATAAAAAGACTTGTTTGTGTGTGTACGATTAATTAAACATTGAAAGGATGATAATTTGTATAATAAAAATGATACATTGTACGTATGTAGTTTATTTTCATGCTTTATTAGATATATCTTTGAACGTTTTGTTTTGAATACTCGTTTTAGAAGTAAACTTATTATTGTGTTGATTTTGATATTGGTTTTTAATATAAATACAGATATGACATGTATTATAAAAAGTTGCACCAATTGATACTTGAAATGGTATTAGTCTAGCAGCTCTGATGGATAAGAAGGGAAACGGATACCTCCTAATGACAACGTTAAATATAAGGTTGGTATTAAGGAAGAAATTAGGAAGGACAATAGCGCCATCTACATCGTTCCGACGAGCAAGCGTGGCTAATCAAAGCACCAAAAGGTAAGCCGTAAGGGCTGTTTATTTTTGGGTTTACTTTGGGCCGTTCGGTCCTAGAAAGCTTTTTTCGAGTAATGTGCTTCCTGGTCGTGTCGGATCATACGTTGTACTTGAAAATCAGTTGACGAAGCAGCGATGACCACGCCAATGTAGGTGAAGCCGCGGAGAGGCCGTAATGTCGGGCATCTTGCTTAGTAAAAGCCAAAACTCCATTGCTCCCTCTGCACCCATTCGCGTCTTTCTAACCAATTGCCAAACGGCCACTAAGCACAAATGTGATACACATACGTATATACCTATGTACATACGTCTACATATGATACACGTGCACACTTATTGCATACATATATATGTACGTATACATGGAATTATTCCTTCATACCAATGCACGTGTATTGGTGCATCCGTTCTATTGTATTATACAACCTCTCTCTCTCTTTTGTACGCGCGTGCGCGCACGCAATCCACACAAGGGTAACACTCACACGTATTCATAAAGATACGATTTGCGACTCTCGCGCACACGCGCATATTCACGCATTACACACGCGCTCTCTACACTCGATTAACGCGACGGTGGTGGCGGCGGCAGCTTCTTAGTTCACACACACAACACATACTCTCTCTCTAAATTAATAAAGAATAGTTTTCTTCTATTTTTTCCTCCGCAGAAAAATGAGCAGCTCCGAGGAGGTATCTTGGATATCATGGTTCTGTGGCCTCAGAGGCAATGAGTTTTTCTGTGAGGTAAGTCAAATATCTATATGTCTCTATTCTCTTCACAATTAGTTATTCTTTAGTAATCTGTCAATGAAGCAATAATAAATCTTTAACCGAATCTAAATATATTCTTATTATCATCAGCATCTTAGTAATCATCGCTTGATGCGCTTGGGAGTGATAAAAATGGATATTTATTTATATTTCTAACTTTAGGAATAATGTATCATTGATATGCGTATTGCTATACGCATTGCTATGACCTATCATTTCTCAATTATTATTCCATATATCTTTCTTCATTTCAATAGTGTATTATTCTTATTTAGAATTATATTGTTTAATATTTTGTATTGTCGTTTATGTGTCATACCTGTAATCTATATATGTATATATATGCATACGTATATTTATTATATTGTTTCAGGTCGACGAAGACTATATTCAGGACAAATTTAATTTAACAGGGTTGAACGAACAAGTGCCACATTACCGACAAGCATTAGATATGATATTAGATCTCGAGCCTCGTAGGTGAACCCGTTGTGCTAAGTTCCTTACATTCACTTGAAATACATTATTGTACATTAGTTCTGATAACTGCTTTTTATTTATAGTAGATGACGATTTAGATGACAATCCAAATCAATCAGATTTGATCGAACAAGCTGCAGAAATGCTTTATGGTCTTATTCATGCACGTTACATCCTTACAAATCGAGGAATTGCTCAAATGATCGAAAAGTATCAGTCTGGTGATTTTGGTCATTGTCCACGTGTATATTGCGAGTCTCAACCTATGTTACCTCTGGGTCTGAGTGACGTTCCAGGAGAAGCGATGGTTAAGAGTTATTGTCCCAAGTGTATGGATGTCTATACACCTAAAAGTTCTAGACACCATCATACCGATGGTGCATATTTTGGTACAGGATTTCCACACATGTTGTTCATGGTTCATCCAGAGTACAGACCAAAACGTGCAACAAATCAATTTGTACCTAGGTAATTCCTATCGCTTACTTTCTTATTTTTCTTTTCTTATGAGAATAATAAAATTATTCATCAGGTATGGCATTTATAAAAACTATAATAACTGATTTCCCATTTACATGGCACTTGCAGGTTATATGGCTTTAAAATTCATCCATTGGCATATCAGATGCAGCAACAATCTGCATCAACCTTCAAAGCGCCACCATTACGAACTCTTAATTACAATAATGGGAAACGCTAAAAACACTTTGACATACTTTAGATCATTTTTCATTACTCATAATGCAATTCCTAATTTTGTCCCTGCGATTTAAATAAAATATTATTTTTTATATCTCTCTTCACATACATCTGTGCAACATGTTGCGATAAAGGCTGTTTCTTAATCTTTCGAACTGTACGATACAGAAACCTCCCAAAGCTTTCCGAGTTTACCTATAAAGAAGTATTTATGTATTGAAAAAGAGCTAGAGGGAAAAGAGAGAGAGGGAGGGAGAGAGAGAGAGAGAGAGAGAGAGAGAGAGAGAAAGAGAGAATGAGAGAAAGAAAAAGAGAACAAGTGAAAGAGAGAATGAGACAATAGAGCAATCTATCAATCATAGAATTGATACGAGAAGGGAGGATATTGGCATTTTTATTTCATTTATCAACTGACTATTTATGTTGTGATACAAAAAATCATATTTATATGCGAGAAAAGGGATAAAACATACTTAGGATAATTGCTAGATTATAAGAAGGAAGATAAGAAATATGGATAGAATGTAATTGTTCGTATGAGTCCCATTGTATAACTATGACTGCTGCCAGGTAGTTCCTATGTATGACCTTACGAAGGTCGACCATTACTTGAGGAGCATTGTTGGCATCAATATCACATCGAGTAAATGCATAAAAGAATTTGTTAGTCATACTTTCATTTAATTTTCGAATAAATAAAACAATGAAACATAATGAAAAGACTTCTTTATGCGTGTGATTCATTCAAAATATCTGATAGAGGAATATCAGATAATAATGTGTATCGTTAAGAATATCAAACTAATGATATTTATTGTTATACTTATCTTATTTTATAATTTTCAAATCACTTTACTAATTTGATTCATCATAAAACATGTATATAGAAGAGAGACATTAGGAATATCTTTGAACTTATTTAAAATATTATTTGCTTAATTATATCATTAATTGTGTATTTAATTAAGATATCATTTTTAAATAATTTTCAAAAATCAGATCGAAGAAGAAATAAAATAAATAATGATTTATATACCTAAGAACATAACATTATTTACAATGAATAAAATTATATAAAAAAATATAAGAAATGTATTCAAATTATTGAAATTTTCTTCATGGTCCTGTTCTTATCATGATGAGAATTAAAAGATTTTATATAATAAAAAAACTCTATCTGAAAATGAAAGTGCTCTGTTGATGTGCCACTTAGAATAGAATAGACATTTTTATATATGTGTGGTAAAGTATACAATTCTAATGTTATAATTTGATTTTGACCAATCCTTTAATAAATCTCTTGTTTTGATCATATATTTTTGTAGGTTATTAATCTGAATTGGACACGTTTCGTATACATAGTAGAAGAAGTATTGTGCTCTAATACCAACCAATCAGAATTTGTCCCGAGAATTTAAATAATGATGGCGTAACATATCTTATACTAACCGGTAGAAAATAAGAGAAACAGTTTGTATTTGAAAATATATATATATATATGGATAATACAAGGATTAATAACAATGTTTCATTTAATATAATCATTTCTTACGATTTCAATTAATTCGTGATTTTGATACGCGAACACGTTAATGTACTTTATCCATGCCCCATTTTGATTTTTCCTTTATATCAAGGAAACTAAAAGAAAATTGACGTTTCTACGATGCTACATGAGGAATATTGTCAAGTGCACGTATAATGGTGTTTTTAAACGAACAACGGCACATTATACTTTTATTACTAGAGTGAAATCAGTCGGTAGTTGACAAGTTTATCATTTATCCTATTTATATTTTTATCCTATTATTCCAAATTTGCATATTTTTAGATTGCAAAAATTACTTAATATTATTATTTAAATAATTGTCAAGAATGGAAGATCACTCTGCTCGGTCAAGTTGTGGTGCTGGTGGATTGCACACGCGTCCAAAGTTTCAGCCGGTTCGCGTCAAAGCTTTATTGAATTTTAGCGAAAGCGATGACGAAGAAAGTGAAAACAAAACAATAAATTTAGAAAACGAAACAGACCACGATTCTACCCAAGTTGTATGTCACAACAATTTCTACTCCGAACCTATATGCCTTTCTGAAAGTATCCGTGATCAATCAATAGATGTACACATGGGTAACAGTACACGGTCCAACTCTTCTTTCAAAGGACTTTTACAAGCTAATAATGACTATGAACCAAATAGTAGTATTGGCTCATCACTGGAAGTCGGTACTATTCTATGCGATAATGTTAATAGGACCGATAACCAGGGAAAAGAAATTAATAAGGAAAATAATCACGAAGCAATATCTTTGGGAAGTACTCGTGTAGAGAATACCAAAAGCAACGATTCATCGAATATGACAAGCCATGGAAATTTGATATTTCATGATACGATAAAAGATGAAAGAGATGCTAATTTCAGACTAAAATTGTATCCGAAAAATGTATCAGGCATTAAAGTAGATGAAAATGTTCTAGCAAATATCTATGTTGAACGTATGGAAGAGAAAGTAGGAAATGCGATTGCCAAAGAAGATATTTATAGAGAAACGTTTAATAATAAGAGTGAAAATAAAGTAGGTAAAAATACTGATTGTGGTATGGTCTCTATATTGATCAATGACAAAAATACATTGGGAGATATCAACCCTACACTTACAAATTCATCTAAATCTAAATCTCCTATGGACGAGGAGAAATACTTGAAATTTAATTCGGAAAATGTTTCTTCTTCCGAGACTCCGACGACGTTTGATACTAGATCATCCGTTCATTCCGACACGATCCGTTCCACATTGTTGCAGAATAATGCAAGACAAGTGCCATTGCAAAGTAGAGGTTTATCCATTGTATCTACGCCAACTCCTACCAATTCGATGTTAATGCAAGTAATAAGAAAGAAGGATGATACGCCTAGGTTATTAAAATAAATTTAACCTGAATGAATAAATATGACTTTACGCGCTAATTTTTACTATTTTCTTTACCCTTTCTTCCAGGTATCCTTATCAACGAGAAAAACGTATAAGACAACCCCTGGGAATTACTATGTGCTTAGATCAATTCAATCCCGTTGATAACTTGTCTATCTACTCGACGGAATCTAAAGTTCGAACATTAAACAGCAAACAACTGTCGAGAGTAGAAGAAACTGAAATTGATAGCAATATAGCTGATACCCCACACGGAGAGATCAATTCGGATGGAAATTGTATAATCAAAGAAAATACAAAGGAACTAGAGAATAAGTTTGTACAGACGCTCGTTAGTAGTTCTGCCGAACAGTCGGAAATTGGACAAAATGATGGAAGGAAAAAAAGTAGTCTAAAAGAAATGATATTTGTTTCTAATAAACATGCTACATCCATCTCTAAAGAAGAATTTATGAATTCGAAAGAACAAAATATCGTTTCTAACGAAAAAGAAGTAGAAGAGAATATAAAACAAGTCGTAGATAAAATATCTAATGTGCAATTTTCGATACCATCCAATTCCTCCTACTCCATGGAAAGATATAAGAAGATAGTGGTGAAAAATAAAGAATATTTAATTCTGGGTGCTTTAGGACGCGGCATGAGCGGAGAAGTTTTACGAGTACAAGACTTGATGTCGTCCGAATTACGAGCTATCAAATGCGTCAATTTGAACCGCATGGATAAAGATTCGGCCCAAGGATGTTTAGAAGAAATTTCTATGCTACATAAACTGCAGGCCTCCTGTATAGTCAAGATGTTTGATTAGTAAGATTGAATTTAATAAATATGATTACTCATAAAAGATATAGAAATATTGTATATATATATAATGTTAAAATAAAATATATTTTTCTAGTGAGATTAAGTACCCTCTAGTCTATGTAGTAATGGAGATGGGCGATACCGATCTTAGTCGTTTATTAAAACTTACATCACAGGAAAAACAACTTCCATTAACAATGATTCTTTACTATTGGACAGAAATGTTGACGGCTGTTAAACATATACATGACCACGGTAGATAACATTTCATTTTTTTTATCAAATCTAATATTAAATAATATATATAAATTGTATTTGAGAATAAGGAAATAATGACAAAGTTTTCTTTCCAGGAGTCATACATTCAGATTTAAAACCAGCTAATTTTTTATTAGTATGCGGTCGTCTGAAATTAATAGACTTTGGTATTGCTTCTAGTATGAATGCAGATATGACATCTGTTGTAAAAAGTTGTCCAATCGGTACTTTAAATTATATTAGTCCGGAAGCTTTAATGGATACAGGAGGAAATGGAGATTCTCCTAATCACAATGTTAAATATAAAGTTGGTATTATGTATTTGTACTAAGGAAATAATAGTTTATAATAGAAATGTTTTATGTAACGTGAATCTTTTAATAATGCATTATTCCATTTTACCATATAGATTAGTTACAAATCAGATGTGTGGTCCTTAGGATGTATTTTATATGGTCTTGTATATGGACAAACTCCATTTCATCACATACGTTCTCAGTGGGCTAAAGTCAATGCAATAACGAATCCGAATCCGAAGATTGCTTTTCCAACGTCTGTTCTTTTGTTTAATAAGAAATTTGAGCCACCTCCTATTTTGATCGATGTGATGCGTAAATGTCTTCAACACAATCCTAAAGCTAGACCAACGGTAGCAGAACTCTTACAGATACAGTATATACCTATCAAACAGGATGCCAAATCTCTATTATCTATTCCTCCAGAGATATCACCAAGTATTTTAGTAAAGATAAAGCATGCATTAACTGAAGAAGAATGGAGAAGACTGACACAGGTCATAATACTTAAATTATTATTACTCTGTTTTACATACATATAGATATTTTCATCTAATACATTATTCTACTATTTGTTGACTACTCTATCGTACCGTACTATCATATTAAAATTAATATTATTTTTAGGTATGGGAAAAGAAGGATGTTGAATAAGAAAAAAGTATTTCTGTTGCATGCTGATTGTCATAATTCATTGTACATAGAATATATATGTATATATTACATACATTGTATATATATTATTTTATATATATATATATATATATATATAAATAATAAATAATAATAAATATAAATATATATATATATAAAATATAAATTTAGAGAGAGAGAGAGAGAGAGAGAGAGAGAGAGAGAGAGAGAGAGAGAGAGAGAGAAAAAGAAATAGAATACTATTTTAAAATAAATATCTTTTTATTATTTCATATATTCGTGTGTACAAATGACTTAGTATGATGACGAAAATGATTATTCTAATTCCCGATAGTTCGTAGATAATTAATAATAATTCTTACACTATTATTTATAGCTTAAGATTATGATTGCATATGACACGTTATAAATCAACTGGTTGAAGAATATGATTTTAACAGAGATTATATTTAACAGATATAAAGTTAATTATTACCGATGCATATACACGTCAATTTTTTTTATTCACAGATAGGAAGGTAAAAAACGAGAACGAATGTCTTATTTGATCATAATCCTTTTCTAATACTCATCCTTTATAACATCACACTGTTTCACACTAATACGATGATCTCGCACGAGAATCTTGATCATCTCGTACGTATGCATTGCATTATTTAAGAAATGCTTCACTATTAGTCTTAATAATGCAAATCAATGTATAGATGTAAGTTGCCAGTACTGTAATAGACGCTCACCTTTTGGTAATGCCATAGAATCTGGACGTTCAAACGTTAACATAATATCTTTCACTTTATTTCTTATTTCTCGATCAAATATGTGTCCTCCAGTACGTTGAAGTGCAGATGCCATATCGTATTCGACAGAGGAAGGCGATTCGCGAATAAAATGTGCGGCTGTAGCAATACTTGGTAATATATGCCATTGAAGAGCTTTGATTTCCCAAAGGCTACTTAGAAGCGCATTACTTTGCAAGGGATCTCGTTCTTCCATAAGAAATGGATCACCGGTTCCTGTACCTTCCTCGGATATTAATTCCCCACCTTGAGGATGGTCTATAAGTCTTTTTAAACCTGGATGTCTTAGAAGAAGATTGCCAATAAATAATAAAATAATAAGAATATCTTCGGGTGGTGCTACTAATGTTAAACGTGCGAGTCGCTTAGCAAATGCTGCAACTAATGCTTCCGGTAGGTGACTGAAAAATAATCAAGTACAACGATAAGATGTAAGATATGACATTAGTTTTTCATCAAATATCATTTTTTCATACTTGAATTTTACTTACGTCGAACTGAGGAAAAGATCAGACAAGTAAAATAATCGTGCTTTATATTTAGTGTGAAAAATTTCTGGCTCAAACATGGAATAAAGTTTAGTAAAAATGTTTGGATATTCTAAATTGTGTTTTGTAACCAGTAAGAATACACCTTGTAAAGCAAGTAATCCGATAGGACCATCCGCATCTAAGGAATCCATAAGGAAATCCGTTAATACTAATGGCTTTTCAAGATGTGGCATAATTCTTTCCAAAAGCACTATTAACAATTGTTTGTGTAGTTGAGGCGTTAATTCCCAATGCATAACGCACGCCCATACTTTGTTAAGCGAACGTCTTACACTGGCTTGATCCCAAGTAAAGTTATTAGTGGCTGGTAAAGATAATTAGATCATTAATAAATATAATAGATCTATCTTTCTTTTTTTTTTTAGTACAATATTAGTATTTACTATATAAAGTTACCTCCGTTTAATCCACACAATAATTGTTTACTTTCGCAGATTTCATTTTCTGAAAAAGGAGAAAACCAGTTTCAGGACGAAATAATATATACATATATGTATCATATATTATAGCTATTAAAAATGCACTTACCTTCCATACCTTTAGGCAGTGGCAATTTATCTATAAGTTCTAGTAAATTCTTTATGTATGTCTCTCGTGGCTGTCTCTTCGGAGTGAGAGATGGAAGGCATTTCCATGTATAATAAAGCGCATCCAAATATGTAGCTATCTCTTGAAATCTGTTTATAAGATTAATATTGTCTTTCTCCGGGGAAAGTAAAGACATAAGAATAGGTTTGAGACGATGTAACGGTAAGTAATATCCTAAATGGCCAGTTGGTTCCAACGGAGTTTTACCTTCTTGGGCTAATAGTTTCAATGCCGTAGTAAGAGCTTGCAGTTGAATGGCTGGACGAGATTTTTCCAGAGATAGCAGAATTTTTTCCCACACTTCTTCGTAACAATTGCGCAACCAATTGATATAACGAGATTCTGGACTAGGTTCTTTAAAAGAATATTTTTCGTTAGAACAACTAAAGTTAGTTTGTTATAGTTTATTAGTTTTTTTTTACCTGAGATGGTAAGAATAATTGTATGTTCTATAAACATGTCACCCCGTTTAAGCACTTCCACGAATATTGTTTCTATGGTTAGTAAACAGGCAGAGGAAGATTCCTAATGGAAAGAAAATACAGATAAGTCCTTAATAAGGTTCTAAATGAACCTTAAGAAAAATGAATTACGATGCAATCGAATGGAATCGATTAAACTGATGGACGACGGATTGATAGCAAATATACATATATGTATGGATATATGGATTTATTAATATATTGATATATAATAAAAGAGAGAATTAGCTTACATCCCACTGGCTAATTATGTCGACAAGATTGTTGGCATATTTTCGCGAAGAAAGAAATTCTTGAGCTTTCTGTCTAAACGTTCTAGTCGACATCTTCTGCATAGAAGAAGCACCGGGAAGATCCAAGAGATCCGCCATCCTTCTTTACAACAGACTCGTGCTTAAATGGCAAAGGTCAAAGCGTCGAAGCCTTTCTAGTCAGAACTAGCCACTTTTTCGTCCTTTATTGTCACGTGTTCAGTAACATATACACGAAATATTTCAAAATTAAGACTTGCTTAATAAAATGGCGTGCTCGCTTTTACCGACCGAGACAATGAAATTGTTATAGGCTTAGATAAGTTGAGTCTATTACAGGGGATGCAGAAAAGTTCGTTGCTTCAGAAAGTGAACGTTGCGTTTCACCTGGCTCTGCCATCGAAAATCATTAAAAAATAAAAATTGGATAAGAAGAAATTGGAAAACCTATTTTAAAATAGACTTTCTTAACCTTTGTCAACTATAAGAAGAACATTTCGAGATGACGAGTGTGTTTATTATGGAGATCCTTTCATTAATCTTTCCAAAATGTCATATTTCACGATCAAAAAAAAACAATGAACGAACAATAAATATCAGTAGAAATATTAGCATATTTGTGAAATGAGCCAAGTTGCCAAATAGGTTATCAACGGTATATGTATTGTGTTTGCGTGGATACCTATGTCTGTGCTGTGTTTCTATTTTCAAAGAATATTCTGTCATATATCAACTATATAATAACTATCGAATAGTTGGAAATTTGTAGGGGTGAGTCCACTTTTAAATCCATATTTTACTTTATTCTTTCCATAAGATTTTAGAGATGGAAATGTAAAATTTCTTATGGCAAGAAGTTAGTTCAAATTTTAGATTCCTTCTGCTTGAGCATGTCCGCGTTTCGAAGGTTAAATAGTTATTAATGTTTTTTTAAATAGTTATTAATAATTAGTCTTTTTAATCGAATAATTCTACAGGGCAAGGATGGCACAAGACGAGGATAACAAGTTAATCAGAGAAGATTTTGATGCCGGTCCATCTAGTTTTGACGAAATCGAACCAAATTTATTTCTAGGGAATCTAACAGCTGCTACCGATGTGGAATGGTTGAAAGAAATAAATATGACTCACATACTTACGGTTGATTCGTGTCCTCTACCAAGAAAGATTCAAGAACGTTTGCCCAATCTCATCATTAAATATATTCAAATAACAGATATGCCGAGAGAAGATTTATTAACTCATTTGGAAGATTCTTATGAATTTATCAATCAAGCTTTAGAATCAAAAGGTAGAATCCTGGTACATTGTTACTTTGGTGTATCAAGATCTGTTAGCGTTGTCATTGCATATATTATGAAGAAACATAGGAAATCTTTTTTAGACGCGTTAGAAATGGTCAAAGAAAAAAGACATTTCGTCGGGCCAAATCCTGGTTTTATAGCTCAACTGAAATTATACGAAGAGATGGATTTTGGCATAGACAATACTAACGTTCAATTTAAGATGTACAGATTGCAAATAGCTGCGGATAAAGTGAGGAAAGTTAAAATTTTACCTCAAAATTGTATTGATTTAATTAAGCCAGATCCTGCATTAACGACTGTACGTCCAGAACCAACTGTTTATCGTTGTAAAAAGTGTCGAAGAATCGTTGCCAGCGCGAGTAATATTTTACCACATACAACGCACCAAAGACAAATTTGGCGACACGTTAGTTCCAAACGTATGCTCAAACAGATTAAAGATGGGAAGGAAGGAGCAGAACATGTCAATGTAAAGAAAGAAAATCAAGTGACAGAACTTTGCACTAAAATATATTTTGTGGAGCCTTTGGCATGGATGCCAGATATAATGCACAACGTGGAAGGAAAGTTGAATTGTCCAAAGTGTAATACAAAGTTAGGCTCTTTTAGTTGGATAGCTGGTAGTCAATGCCCATGTGGTAGTAAAATAGCTCCGGCATTTTACTTAGTTCCTTCTAAAGTCGATTGGAGTAACGCAGTTCAGAATGTCCAGGTAACGGTTTAGTATGCCAAGACAATCTATGCAATCAAGACGCGTACGTATATATATATATATATATATATATATATATATATGTACGTACGATTGTTTGGACGGATAATTACAATGATAACGATTGTCATATTTGTCATTCTATTAACGATTAAACTGCTAAACATTTGTATTATATTTATATCATAAAGCATATTCGATTTAAAAATGATAAAACGTTTGCAACAAAAAAAAACAGTTGTTTATCGTGCGTAATGGAGCAATTATATATGTTCATTGTAATTAATAATATTTCTTACAGTATTATTGAGGATGTTTTATATCTAATTTAATTGACTTCCAACGCTAGGACCATATGCATTATTTCACGTATTTTATAAAGTATATATATATATGCATATATGCAATACAGTGAATCTCGTTAAGGAATCGTTATGTATACCCTGTATACCGTATCCTTGGCACTCGTCATAGTTATATATAAACGTATACGTATGTATCTATTTATTCATCTATGTAAATATCTATTATATATACCCTGTTTATAAAACTCGTAATAACTGAGTAAAAGTCTTGATTATTATATTAACTTGAATTTTTGTAATAGATAAGTTTTAACTCAACCTTGTTGATTACAGTTGAGAGCAAGAGCATTTTTGGTTTCAACAAACGAATCCTGTGCAAATGCTCGAATCTCTTGGAAGCAAGCACAGGAAGCATATAAAGCACCAAAGAGAAGTATTATCGAAGGCGTCTAGGTTTAATCGCAGCATTTCTTCGTTTTATCATTATTAAGAAAGAGTCACATGCTTGCGTGCATGGCGGAATATGTAGCACTGTAAGGATGTGATCTCAATCTCAATGCGCTTAGACCAGTTATAGTCGTTCCTTCGACGGCACTGTGAATTTCTGCTGATTGATGATATGATGGTAAAGCAGCTACGTTTCCAAGATTAGCGTTGACAAATCCGTGACAATTACTGCTTTGAACGGCGGTATAATGTTGAGGCGATCTCCAATATTCGCTATAGGAATATTGCGGAAATTGCTGTGCTTGGAACGTATTATTTTCCGCATTGTTTTCGTGCGCGTGGTTGCTTACTCTTATCGGTCGAAGTGGTAAGGTGGTAGTTTCTAGTTCTCTGCTCGTACACGTGTTGCGATTAAGAGCCGAGCTTCTTTCATTTCGCCGGAATTTGGCACGTCTATTTTGAAACCATACCTGCAAAAGGCAAACTTCTATATAGTTTTAATGAAATAAGAAGAACGATGAATGCGAGCGTGCGCGTGTGTGTGTGTGAGAGAGAGAGAGAGAGAGAGAGAGAGAGAGAGAGAGAGAGAGAGAGAGAGAAAATAGTCGTGCTGATGGCGAAGGAAGAAAAGAAAAAGTGACGGTGATAGCGAAAAGAGGCTCGTCGTGTTTCTTTGCGGCATGCCGCACAAATGTCTCCCCCAAACAACGCATACGTTGGCTTAGCGACGCGTTCTTAGGAAAGACGGGACAGCGTGACGGCTCCTGGCAGGCGTACGCATATTCGTAGAGACAGGGAGAGAGACAGAGCACAGACGGAAAGACGGACAGACGATCAGAGTCTAAGGAATGAAAGCGCGAACGAAGGGTGGTGAGAAGGAGTTTGCAAAGCACACACGTGCTGGATCGCGTCTCTACGACTGTACGCTAGGCTAAAGTACGCAGATGCTGTTGGATAGACGCGTACGATCTTAGGTCGCAGCAGGCTAATCATAGCTTCTTTCCTTGACAACCTGTCTCCTTCGATTTTCTGCCTAGCTGTTCGTAGCCTCCCTTCTCCCTCTTCTTTTCCCTACTCTTCCTGCTACCATCTCTTTCTCTTTCGCTCATTTTCGCTCACATGTTTCTATCCTTCGAATATAATCTCAAGAACACGTGTGTCAAGAGAGACAGTTGGTTACTTTCTTAGTTGGCAACTGTCCTCTTATTTCTACATTGGAAGATTCTGCTGCCTTATTTGAAAGACCTTATTTTTCTATGAGTAAACGCGTTACAAGACGAATAATAGACAAATAATATTTAGAATCGAGATTTAATTACCTGAACTCTTGCCTCCGATAAGGATACTCTAGTAGCAAGTTCCTCGCGAACAAAAGCATCGGGATAATGTGTCCTTTCGAAAACTCTTTCCAAAGCGGCCAGCTGTTGCGCCGAAAAGGTTGTTCTACTTCTCCTTGGTCTCCTGCTTGCCGATGTTCCTTCTGTGTGACATTCTGTGTGTATGTGTGTGTGTGTGTGTGTGTGCATGTGTCATAGATCAATTTTTTCTTCGAGATTTTATTCAATATAGGAAATACTGGAAGATGCCGCATACGATAAAGTAGTCGCTCGGAGGAAAAGAGAGAGAGAGAGAGAGAGAGAGAGAGAAAGAAAGAAAGAAAGAAAGAAAGAAAAAAAAGGAAAGGAGCAGGCACAGACGCGGCAGCTATTCTTGAATGAATCTACTGTGCTTGAGTATTCATCAAAGCGGTATAACGCGAGCAGCATGGGCGGAAACACACAATTTCGATGGAATCGAACACCTATCGTCGGTATCAAGTAGTTACTAAGTTTCTTCTTAAAAGAATCAATTTAGACCAATCTAGCATTATTTTAGGATATTTTATTATTTGTTATGTTTATACTTACCTAACGAATGCATCGTCGACGTTGATAATAGTCGTGAAACAGTGAAATCTTGTGACGCATGAGGATTCGTTGATTGCGACGTTATTATGTTATTACCATCCTGATCCATATTCGCGCCGATCATTTTGCTCTCAGTTCGTTTGAATGATTCTTAAATATTTTCTATTTTATTCTTCTTTTTGTGATGTCACCTCAACGTTAAGTCACTTAGTTTCATCGATTGAACAAAGTTACCGTCAAAGCATGACGATATTTTGTCCGTCATATATTTTAGAAAATAGATACTTTTTTGACTGTGATACCGATGGAAGGAAGAAAACTTTGCTACTATCGATTTGTAAGGTATCATTTAATTTTATACGAGTTATCTATTACACAAGTTGGGGTCGTGATAATCAACGAAACGCTGATCGTATAAATCTTTTTGCGCTGTTTAATCTACCGAATCCACAAGGTGTTATTCGATCTAATTGCTGTTACATGCGTCAAACTTGTGTCAAATTTTCATCTTTAAGGAAGAAAGAAAGAAAGAAAGAATTAATTTCGCGCGTTTTTCAACGAAAAGCAAGAACTTGAAAAAATGCAAAAGGGAGAAGATATTACTTGGGGTACTGGGATATCAGCCGACTAAACCGACTTGAGACGTACTGAAAGATTCTCCTCTTGTCTCTTCGCATCTTTTTCTCTGTTTCTCTCTCTCTCTCTCTCTCTCTCTCTCTCTCTCCCTCGGTCGTCATCAGAAGCGACGCAGTGAAACATACGAGGAGAGGAGAAATAGAGCGTTTTAAGAGTAGGTGGAGATTTTCTTCGCAGGCTCCACCTTCATTAGGCGCTCATTGGTTTTCAAACATTACTACTTACGTTTCGTTTTATAGGCAGGACTCAGATCTTAGAAGCAAAAAGGCTTATCTGTGCGCGTCTAACGACAGATCTGAGAACCTATTTATTTCCGCGAAGGCGTATGTCTTTTTGGCTTAATGTCGTTTCTTTTTTTTATTACTATATCAATGGTAAATCGTTGACAAAATCGGAAAACGAAGAACCGAAGAAAAGAACCCATCGGCTAAGCAAATTCATTTTTTTTCAATAAATGTCGTAATATAAAAAACTTATAACAGCGGTCGCTATGACGTTATGGCGAAAATATATTTACAAGATGCTTATAGGAAGCTTATAGGATGGTTGTTATCTATTTATCTTCGGACGGATATTATAATGAATTTTTGTGGAAGACGAAGAATTTGGAAAGCAAAGGGGGAGAAGTTGAACTCGGTGTGTTTTAGGTTCGAGGAGACAGAGGGGCGCGTCGCGACGCGCTGACACGTACACGTCGCGCTGACACGTACAAGTCGCGCTGAGCCCTCGGAGAATTATTAGGCGTGCCTGACGATATCCCCGTTTTTCTCTCTATCCCTCTCATACTAAACTTTCTCATTCTCCAAATTTGACTGTCTTTTGTCATCGGAAAGACGCAAATTGTAGACTAGATCGATCGCCGAGATCTTACATGCCCCATGATGTTAGCGCATGTTTTAGGGTCGTTCGAGCAATTATAACGACCATGCGTCATTCCTGCCAATTAACGCTCGAAATGTTGTCTTCCTTTTTGGGGTTCGGTTGACAGAGTGCTGATAATTTTACGCATGCGAAACCCCTCGTAAACGCGCGCGCGCTCTCCTTTTCGATATTCCTTTCTCTTGTACTCGTCGAATGTGTCGTTAGATACTCTTGCTCTAATTCATTTATTTTACATCAAGTTGGCGATGGGTGTAGGTTTAACAGAGCGTGAAGCAAGTTACCCGTTACTCCTACTACAATAATGCTTCATTCCTTGCAACAAAATGCTATACCATACGTGGATGACGCCTAGGGTTGACCACTCCTTGAGTTAGGGTAATATGGTTAGTCGTCCAGTATTTAATTGGTCAATTCAACGTCAATTTTGTTCGTTGCATCTACTTAGGTGTTACCAATTATGTAGCTGTCGGTCACTTTGTCGCTCACTTTGTCGCTCTTTCGCGTTACGCTCGATTCGAATCGTATAAATAGATAGATACTAGGGCTGCCGCCGACTGGCCAAGTCGTTTCTCAAGCTTTCCAAAAAATCACGTAGCAGATATTCGCAGGGGTTCATGTCGTGGGTACAAATGCTATTTCTTCGAACAACGCCTTAATATAATATCGTACGTATATCTCGGGAAGGATCCTTTTCATTTTTATCTGTGATGCATCGTGCGATTGTAATGGTTAACGTTCAAACTGAACAAAAACCGGTTAGAAGGAAGCATCTTTGATATTTGAAAATAGTCTTGGGCTATGCGAGAGAAAGAGAAAGATAACGATGATGGTTAGAGATTTTACATCTACGTTTAGAACGGTGGCCGTGCTTGAACAACTTTCAATAATTTGTTTGCGAAAGATAAACCTGTCAAAGAAAAATTGTCGATCTTTTCTATCATTTCTCATATAGAAGTAATTACAAGTATCTTCGAGTGTGATCGTTCACCTGGAGAGATTTTGAATGGTTGGCTTAGTCAGGTCGCGATTCTAGAGTGGGGATATAAAAAAAGAAAGAAAGAAAGAGGGCCAGAGAGAAAGGTAGTTTGAAAACCTTGTCTAGGGACCCTTACATAAGGCCCGTAGCTTTACCCCACCACACCAGTAAGGAACCAACCGTCGTAGCAACCACATTTGTGTTGCGATCGTGTCGTCGTCGTCGTCGTCGTCGTCGTTATCGACGTCGTCGTTCGACTTTGTTTTTTAGCGTATTATGTGCACACGAGTTCGATGTGTGATATACGACATAACAGTGATAATTGATACAATTCGTGGATTTATGCTAGTCAAGGATTCAGTCAAATAAAGTTAGTACTACCTTTTATCTATTATCTTTCATTTACTAATTCGTTCAAGACATATTTTTTTCTATGTGATTATTTTATTCATCCTTTTTACTATAAAACCTTATTATAAGACCATTACCTTTGATTTATTTTTCCTCATTATTCTTTCCAGTTAACGATTTTTCTTTCTTGGTGTTATAAACGAAATCTTATCACGATATATATGCGAATGTGTAGCAATGTAATATTGATTCGTTAGTATAAAGAACGTCTTTCGTGGCAACGATTGTAAGAAAAGCAAGGATTATCGGTGATGCGTTTTACGTACGACATGTATTATAGAAACGCTGGGAATGGGAATTAAAGAGAAAGAGGGAGAGAGAAAGACAGACGGGGGCAGGTGTGCTCCAAATAACGTGCGCCTAAGGTCTGTCTTTTTGCGACGCGTTTCCCTCCTATTTTTTCTTTTCTTTCTTTCCCCATCCACTTCCCCTGGTCTATTTTTCTTTCTTCTTAAGTCGTGAAAAAGCGAGTAACCTCCGAATGAATGTGTCTTTGATTGTCGTCAGTTAAACTCTTGGGTCCTTCTCTCTTTCTATCATTTGCGGGACCACGGCGATACAAGCAAAGGTGCACAGGGTCGCTCGCGGTATGTATATAAGCCGTATCGCGAGTATACGTTGCGTTCGCAAGTTGCTGGCGAGTGAAAAGGGTAATCGGGAAACAGGATATCGGGTAAACAAGTCCTCGTCACCACCTGCTTTTTCTCTAATCATTTTGTTCTTTTCCTAATTTGTAATACTTCAACATCCATTCCAAGTATTTTGGAATAGGGAGGATCAATTAGTTTATCATATTGATTAGGCATGACAAGACATGTATCAATGACGCGATTGGAATTTCTATTTCCTCAAATGGCAATGTTCGTATCGGGTAGAACCGTTTTCGAGAGTAATGTTTAAATCACTAGGAAGGTAAGTCTTCAACCGTCGTTCCATTTTACTCGCTTATTCGTGGTACGATGGCACGAGGTCAATCCTGTTTCGTTCCTTGGATAAACGGAGCAGAAAAAAAAGGAGGGTATGTAGATGAAAAGAATTGGTTAAGACCCGATATTGTTATTCCTCGAGCAAAGCTCTTCAAACTAGTTACGAATATTTTACATCTTATATATATAACTGACAGTTATAAAACTGATACATCTATGGATAAATTATTATCGTGGAAGAATAGTACAAACTATGTATTAGTATGATATTATAATTTAACTGTGTGCCCTGCGCTTAATCTATGGGGATATAGCGCAAGGTATAAGATTGGCAACGACTCGGGCACTTGACGTGGTTATTCCATATAAAGTAATACGTATGAACAATAATAATGAATCTCGATGAAAAATTGAGCGTGGTTATATCGACGTTTATTGAAATTGCACCTCATAGGAGGGAGGCTTACAAAAGCCAGATGGTCCTCCCTATGTCTGTCCTCGTGAGTCTCACCTTAGGGGCAGGTGCTTACCATCGTTTTACGCGTCGTCGTCGTCGTCCTCGTCGTCGTCCTCGTCGTCGTTCGTGTTCGCTAAAGCACTACTCACTTTCCCGTATTTATGTGTTTCAATGTGGTACAGAGAGGGAGAAAGAAAGAGAACGAAATAGCGCGTGTTAAAGGACAGAAGCGCGTGCGCAGCATGGCAACAGCCTGTATGCAAATGAATGCATTTTTATACTTACCTAACAATGCGTCGCGTTTAGCCCCCTGAAGAACCGTTAAAAGTAAAAACCTGATGTTGGTAATGATTTTTTTGTCTATCATTTTAGTGTCATCGATGCTTTTCTCTTGGATGGAATGCACATGTTTTTAATCGAATCAACGGTCAGACCACGAAATGACCACGAACGAACAAATAAAACGTATTTGCAATTCGTCAAACGGTTACACCTGCTATGTTATTTCCTTTAGGCCTCTTGTAAGGAAACACCTCGACAGGTGTAACCCTTTGTTTCGTCATCGAACACGTCATTTGGTATTTTCTTTTAAAGATGCTCAAGTGGACCGTTTCGAGATCGTTGTCAGCGAGTAGCTCGACGCCCCACGCTTCAGCCCCCGCTTTGAGCGAGCCAGCCCGTAGGCCTTTTCGAGATCTGTCGAACACGCCACCGGCCGTCGGTATTCTAGGCAGGCACGCAAATTCATCGAACCTACAAAATGCTTCGATCAAACCTACGCCAGTTCGTCGGAGACGATGTCGTAGTCATGCCAGCGACTTGAGGACTTATTTTCAAGTAAGTTTAATCTATCTCGACAACGAGGAAAGAGTCCTCGAGTATAATAATCGAGTTGACTTTTGTTTCGATTGTTTTCTAAGGCAACGAAAACCAATGTAAGAACAGGAAAACGGCAATCGCTCTCTCAACGATTGGAGAGATCACCCAAGCTGGAGAACTTTTATCAGGGTACCCCGCGAGTGGACGCGGATATAGAACCATTGACCTTTTTCCCAAATGGATTGAAACGTTCGACAGCTTTAACTCTACCAACGGATCCAACTTTGTTCTTAAAAAGTCGATCGAACAAACGATCCTTTGGAATCAATCAAAGCAACACCGAGCTGCCGCAAAACGTGGTCAATGAGGCGCGCGTTAATTTACAGTCCCACGTATCGGATTTTTTTCATCAGATTTCGATGGCCACTAGTCCCGAAGACGTGATAGAAGTCGAGTCAGTGCCATTAGATAAGTCTCGAGCGTATACCCAAAATAACAACTTTAGAATGAAATTGGGGGAAAGTAATCGTAAAAAGGGACATTTTCAATCGAAACTGTCTAAGATTACAAAGATCAATGCTCGAAACAGAACTCCGTATTACAAAAAAGTCGTCGAAGCCGGCAGTCCTTTGAAGCAAACTCCGCTTGCCGGGAAACTCTCAAATTTGGCTCTAGATCAAGATTTACCTAAATTTGAAAATATGGATAATACGGTTACGGAAGTTCTCAACAGGTAAGTATTGCTCCTATTGTCGTCTGTGCAACTGCCTAAATAACGACGTTATATCGTTTCGTATTGTTTCTTTTTCGCAGAGAAAAGGAAACAAATTTTGGAGGGAAAACCGTTGCGGAGATTCTTTTTAACGACATCGAGGAAAGAAAAAAGATACTCGAGATTCACGGTACGATTCCTACTACAACGGAGGATGAAACTTTTTCCTTAGAGGAGGATCATACGTATGAAACGATCGTTGAATGCCGCGGAGAAGACGAGAATATCAAATACGAGAATATCAAAGACGAGAGGAGGACCGAGAGCGACAGTTCGGTATCCTCGGCCAGTCAGCTTTTAGAGGATCCCTCGCCTATCTCTTGGTCCTTTACGTCGCCAACCCCGACCAACGAATTCGAGGGAGAGTTCACTTTGAAAAGACAACGTGGTATACGTAGAAAACGTCAGCAACGGAGGAAAGAGAAGACCGTTTTCGAGGGTAAAAGACCGAAAAGAACGGTTGATCCGACTTCCAAGCAAGTATCGCCGAAGATAGAAAATGATGATACTCCTAGGATAGAGGCAATCAATCCTAATGTCAAGAAGTTAACCCTCGAGACGGACTTGGACTCAATTTTCGAGGACAAACAACAAGTCGAAGGGTTTTCGAATGTTTTTCCAAATATCGTCGAACCGGACGATCGGAAGAAGGCTGGAAGTTATTCGGGAAATAACGTAAAAGGCAACGTCTGGGAATTAGAAAGTCCTAAATCAGCTTTGACGGAGGACAATCGTAGTTCGAAGTCGATTTTAAAGCCGACCTCTGATAATACTCCAGAGGTTCCGTTGGTCGCAACCGTTCGAAGATGCTTGAAATATAGTCCGGAGAGCGAGCCATCTAAATCCGATATCGATCGTCGCGGATCCATCGAGATCGAGTATTCGTTCGTTGCCGATCACATACGAGTTCGAGGTGAGTAAAAAATAATGAAAAGACACACGGGGTTTCTTAGGTTTCTAGATACGTTATTGGTGATTCGTCGGTGCTTCTAACGGGACATGCGCGTGCACGCACTCTCTACGAGGGAGAAGGGGTTTATCACTTGGCACCGTAGAAAATAGCAATACTGTGCCAGTAACCCACAGACCCTCCTACAATTTTGATATCGGTTAGTAGGCTTAATAAACATAGAAAAGCTCGAGAATCTTGAATTCGGACCAAAGAGCTAAGAACCAAACTTTGGTTAGTTATCCCCCCCTCTTCCTTTATTTCCTTCGACTAAGTATATTGGGGCGAGATTGTGAAAGTGTCCGTAGTATAACAAATCAATCGGTTTTCTACACAAATTTCGGTAGAGCTGCCCTGGAATGATTTCGCCCTTAGCTGCGACGACGGCATGGCTCCGCAACGCGCAAATAATACCTTTTTTTTAGCGCAATTAATGCTCGTCGTGGTACCGGTGTTTACCGGTATCTGTAAGCTGCATAAAACAGCTACGAAATTCCCTTCGTCTAATTGTACTGTACGTTAGGACAATTGATTTAGGCTTAGAGACTCGATCGCGGGTTAACGATAGAATACGTAACGAAGTTCTTTATCTCTTGGAAAACAAAAAAATGGTTTTTTTCTTTCGCGCAGTGATAAGGTGCAAGGACCTTCGAAGAACCTACGAGGGACCTATTCACGCCTACGTCAAGGTCAGCTTAAAAAATATCAACGGCGAGGGAGTCGTCAAGAGAACTGCAGTTCACAGAGCCACGCCAAATCCCGCCTTTCACGAAACCTTGTTATTGCCCTGCCCGGTTAATCAGTTCATTAGCAAATCTACATCCCTGGATATCGCGGTCTGGCACAGAGATCGTCGAGCAAGGTGAGCATGCTCGAGTAACGAATAATCGTTTCCGTTATTGGAAAATTGTCCATGTATCAGAGTAACGATACGCGTGACGAGCGAAACGAGTTGACGTTTGGTATCAAATTTGTCTTGGTAGAAAAACATTTCCACACATGGAAACTCCATGACAGTTGATGATTCATTCGTAATTATATCATTGAGCAGGAGAAAAACCTTCGAATGGCATGCTATCGTACGTAAACGGTAAGAGGTCAAACGTAGAACGAAAATGATTCGTTTATTAAATCTTTCGTATTGGCTTTATAATATTAAATTATATTTTCTAATATAAAAACTAATATATCTAGATTATCGCGAGGGTTCTTTGCGGTAGGAGGGGAATCGATTCTCTCGAGGCATGCGCATCGGCATCACCACGTGCATTTCTCTCTCGTCACATCCGCACCGCTATAACGCGTGTATATCGTAGATATATCTTAGGAAAATAATCTCATCCCTCAATCCTATTTGAGTTCGCGTCGCGTGTATTTCGTGACACGCATCATCGGTGACAACAACCATCGATAAAAACTCGTCGTCACTGCGTACGATAAATAATATCACCTAAATATTCATGTTGTTTTCTTGTTTTTTCCATTTTCAGACGTAGCGAGCTGCTGGGCTGTATGACTTTACCTCTACCTCTGTCTCAGGATAAGGTAACGGTTATTATCTGTAATAGGAAAAAACGCGAATACGAATAGAGCAAGAACGCGTATAATGTAATCGTGGACGATTCGTAGGTCTTCACGCTTAAGGTCACGGTTAAGCCGATGATAGTTCCTCCTCTCGCTTGTCCAGTACTCGACGAATCTCCGTTGCGGAATTTCCACGACATTTGATCTTTCCTATATTCGTCTAGTGTTCGGTATTTGCTAACGTATACGTAACAAACAATGATCGCTGTGGCCATTTATTGCATTGCTTTTATCGTTATCGGCGTTCTTTTAAAACTTCTCGAATTTTGTTAATGACCGCGCTCTCGAACCGACATGCATTTAGAGATGTTAATAAAGCTCCCGACATTTATCGATTATTTTTAAGACGAATTAGGAAGATTGATTATATTGGTATATCGTAGGAAGCGACATGGCACCCGCTCGAATCTGGATCCAGCCGAAATACAAGTACCCCTTATGCAGGAGTACCACAAGAATGTGGAGTCACGCCACCTTTATCCAAAGATGGAGAATCAGATAACAACAATTCCGGGAACGATGATTTGACGTACTTGAGGCATCTCGAACTAGAACCAGTCGATCCTCTGACCGGCTTACCTCTACATCCAGGTTTTACCGCGAAAGGTGGTAGGACGCCTTGTACTGTAACCAGAAGACTGATTAGACAAAGTGCCGTGAATCAGGTATATATGGAAATGTTATTATTTACAGTAGGTCGAGGAATTGCCCTCCTTGCGTGCTCCATCTATTACGTCTCTCCTCTCATCTACGCGTGGTTCTAGGTGCCATGGGGTTTCTCCTTATCCTGGGGCAGACCGCCGCGCGTCGAGCGCGTAGACTCGGCAAGTCCTGCCGAAAGATCCGGCTTGAAGCCAGGCGATTACGTGGTCTTCGTCGAAACGGTGAACGTCGTTACGAAACCAAGGGACGAAATATTGAGTTTGATCCAGGCGGCAACGAATCAGCTCGTTCTCGAGGTTTACCGCAAGGGAGGCATTCATTCCTCGCAGCACAGGCCCAGCTCGATGAATGTCACTCTTCAACAAACCGTCGTCGGTCCCCCTAGTCAGCACGCCGTCGCGTTCAACGCCGAGGTCGGTACCGGCGTTCTGGTCTGAGTTCGACGACAGTAACCCACCCGCCCCGCCCCCTCTAAATCCTTTCCTTCCCCTATCGCGATATTTTATAAGCAAGCGTGCCTCGACGATCACAACACAACCCCTTTGCATTTATACTCATTTCCCTTCCTCCCAATTTTACTTATTCGGTTATCTTTTCTTGTTTTCTTGTCAACAAGTTTTCTCTTTTAAACTACAAAATCATTGTTTTCTTTTTATTTATATCACATCCCCATCTTCCTTGAATCGTATGTATTATGTAAGTAGGTGTAAGATGCGAAATTAGCCAATCGGCTATTTTCTCTCTCGTTGCATGCAAGAGTCGAAAAAACGATAATAGAGTAAAGTTAAAAAGCTAATTCTGTTCTTTGGTAGACTACTAAGGTCTATTAAAGTCTGTTAAATCAATTGAAACAACGATTCCACATAATATATACAAAATCGCATGATTTTGGTATTGACTGGTTTTATTCCCGGTTAGCGATATCTGCGCACCAATATTCAATCTCATCACTGGCTTCGTTCCATGAATTACGTATACGTAGACACACCGTACCTAAGCAATAATGATTAGTTGATAGATGATCAGTTAATTGAAAAATAAGAACATTCGTAGGTAAGGACATTAATGCATGCGGTCTCTCGATGATTGGTAGTAGTTCGAAAAGACAGGACGAAAATCTTGCACGTCTACGTCTACGTCAGGTTTTTCCGAATCTTGCTCCGGACGCACCACCGGAGGAAGAGTTATCGGTACGAGAGACGAGATACCGGGGGATTCTGAAGAGCGGTCAGACGAGATTCATTCGACCGCTGGCCGAAAGGCGCGACCTTCTCTCCGCGGCGGACTACATGATCCTCTTTCAAAATCTAGACGAATTGCTAAAAATATCCGAGGAGATTAGGGACGAAGGTGGCGGGGTCGATTGCTATCTCTGCAGGATACCCAAGATTACGGCCGCCTACAGACGATACCTCAGTGGACTGCAATGGGCTTGTTATTTGCTCGTTGCGCTCAGGCGTAACGCGGCCTTCGCAAAGTTGGTCTGCGAACCTGCCGTTCCTCATAAAAGGCGGCCCGACCTCACTGGAGTCCTGTTGCTTCCATTGGAGCATTACAGGTATTAGATCGCTATATATTTAAGGACCTCGATAACAACCCTTTCCCCCACCTTTCAGAGAAATGACGAGATTATTGAGCTTGGCGTCGCCAAGGAACTGCCAGCAAGCACGAGATTTGGCGCAAGGTTACCGAGAAGCTACCGCCAATGCGGCCGTGATGGAACCACCGCGAGACACCGGAAGACCGTTACTTAGTTTACAGGAAGTCGAGTCGCGATTGGTTTTTGCCAAATGCAAACCGTTCACTTTAGCTATGCCAGGAAGGCAATGGTCAGTCGACTCTCTCCTTTGAAATCGTTCGACATATCGATTGTACGGCTACTATACGGCTGGTATACTATATATTCGACAGGCTTTTTGGCGGTGCCTTAGCTAAGGTCGAAGGTCGTGCTCGTTTGCAACCATCCTGGGCGCTCCTTCTTACCGATTTATTGGTCTTTGCTCGCGTTTCAAGGGATCGCGTCCTTTTCGTTACCGAGGAACCATTGCGACTGGCCAATATTGCGGAGGCATGTTTTACCATCAGAAAGAGGCCGACGGAATTCAGATTACAGGTGGCAATTAATTCGAATGGCAGTTCCGAGAACGGCGCTCAGACAGAAGTGACCAACAGCGGAGGTGGTTGTAGTCCCCATAGTCGTCCTCGGAGACGAGTCATCATATTGAGAGCGCCCAGTCCAGAGCTCAAAGCTGTCTGGCATAACTTGTTGCAACGGCAAATGTGAGTACCCACGAACGTAATTAACATTTGAGAGAGCGGTGCTTGTTCGAACACGGTGCTTGTTCGAACACGGTGCTTGTTCGAACACGGTGCTTGTTCGAACACGGTGCCTGCTCGATAGATAACATGTCATCTACGTCAAGTTAGTAAAAAACAAACGAAATATGCATTCTTAAACACTAGATATTATCGTTTATCCAAGTACTAATCCCTTGTATTTTAGAATCTATCTAAATACAGGCTATGGTGGAACGTCGAGCGTTGCCAGCCCCGAGGAAAGCCCGATTACCAACACCAACTTTCCTCAAGTTCGAGAAACGATCGAAAGTCCGCGGGTACGATGATAATGATCCACCCCATTACAGTTACATTTAATCCTTTCATTTGCTATTTAATATACCATTCCTAGCAGATTTTACGGGACTCGAGTAAGCGCGAGGAAAATAAGGAGGAGGAGGAATGCCGTTCGAACGAAAGTCTCGTAGACATTTTGAAAAATACGCGAGAGGACAATCACTTGGCCCAATGGGTGCGCAATTCTCATCAAATACCGCCATCCGATAACGAAGGCTCTCTCGAAGAATGGACTGCCGAAGAGTTAGCCGCAAGGGCACCTGGGGAAAATAAAGGGAGGCCCGTTGAAGATATTACGGAAACTACGGAAGAGATTGTAACCGCTAATTCGGACGTAGAGCAACAGAGCACAGCCTCGAGTGCCAGTTTAAGTACAGTCAAATCCAATAGCATTACGCCGAGAAAAAATGGCAGCTACGTATCTTCGAGAGACAATTCCACGAGTTCTATCAGCATCTGTAGACGATGTCATAGGTTATATGCCTTATCTATAATCCATAACTATATAATCTAATCTATTAAATGAAGTACATTTAAGATTTTATAATATTCATTCATTACGTTTCCTTCCTCTCTTCTTCCCTTTGCTTTCAGGTCTGGGTGCCCTACACCACCGCCACTTCCGAGGGACCCCTTCTCTCCGTTACCTCCTAAAATATCTGTTATGCCACCTACGCCAGATATTTATACGACGAGATATAGATTAAGAAACGGCCTACACGACAGTCCAGGACGTAACAGTCCGAATTACGTTTCTGCCGATGGTAATACGGAAGACGGAAGCGAAGATGATCTCGATTGCGACGGGGAACCACCTTACAGGTAGATTTAGACTAATAAGTTCAACGTTAATATCATTCTTATATTATCTCGCCTTTTTTCCAATGCGATCGTCCAAATTGTACCGTAGAACCTTAAGAAGATTTGGTACAATGAGTAGTTTGGACCAAGACGACGAATTGGACGAGCAAGGAGACGACGAAAATCGTGAAACGGAATCACCACCTTCAGGTTTGAGAGCTTGGACAGCAAGAGCTAGTAATTATGTTGTTAGCAAAATGGTTCTTTTGGAGCAATTTAGCGAGGGAGTCGGTGGTTACCTTCTTCAACCGCCAGTCCCTCCAGAAAGGACGGAATTTTCTCTCGATCCTAACGACGAGGAGGGGACTACATCGGGTGCAACCTCGGGAGATGACATTTGGGGTACTCCAACGTCCGGTGGTCCGGACGACGAGAGCTTTACTACAACGCATTCGGTAAAATCATTTTTAGCGGCTCATTTATATTATACGTGTATAAGAAGGTATCGCGGTGGCAGTTTGCCTCAAAAGAAAAAAAATCACATAAAATATTACATCTTTCTTATGCCATTTACCAATACCTTCCGTAAAAGCATCGAATATAGCCTGTAAGCTTCGCACGCCTTTGCATGACTCGCTTGCCCTTTGTTTGTAAAGAATCACTAGCCCGAGATGTGCCTGACTTCCTTAGCCGCCGACGCCGCCGCCGCCACCGCCACCGCCACATGGGACCGACAATTTGACCGAAAATTTGACCGACAATTTGACCGACAATTTGACCGACAATTTGACCGCTTCCGGTGAAGACAATTATGGTCTGAATTTATCGACGGAGGAAGATCACGATCAGGAATCGGATAACGAGGATTGCGGACTGCCCGAGCTAAGCATGGATCAATTAATCGGCGGAGGTAGCCTCGGTTCGCTTCGTTGCTTCTTAAGCAGAAGAAGACTCGAACCTTTACTCGAAGAGGAGGATTCGCCTGGAAGTGGAAAACATCAAGTCGGATGGTGGTGACAGAGGTTGCAATCGACTACGTTGAAAAACGTCAGCTCGAGTTCCGATGCAACCGAGAGGGATCGTATTTTTGCGAAATTGAACCAAGAAGACGAAGAGTTTCGTCGAAAAATCGTAGATCTTCATAGAAAACTCTCCGACGTTGACGAAGGATCGAAGCTCGAATTAGCGTCGCCGGACTCTTTGAAGAATGTCAAAGAGGAACATCGTTTGAAAGAATTGGAATCGGTCGCGCTGAGAGCCGAAGAGTCTAGCAATAGAAGTGCCGAAAAGATTAGTTTCGAAAGATTGCAAAAGGAAGCTTACGCCGCGATCGCGATCGGTGCGATTGATGAACCGACCGACAATAGGCGCAAATATAGACAATTAGATGCGCAACATGATCGTAGAAAACAATTAGAGTTTATGATTAAAAAAAGCAAAAGCAACAAGCTCTTAGAAGAATCCTATAGTCGGAACAACGGTGATAATACTATAGCGACGTCGGAAAGTAATTTCTTAAATCGTTTGAGAATAAAACGACGTAGTTTGAGATTATTGAGTTTCCTTAGCGGCAAAGCATACGATCGGTCGCAAGAAGAACGAGCAGGAAAATTCTTCAAGATGTATATGCCTGAAAAAGCTACCAATCCGCAGAACACAATTTGCATCCACCATACGTCTAGAGACAGGCGATTTTGGAAGCTTCGAAGTCGTAGGCGGTCGAGTTCGACCTAAATTTCAAATAGGACAAGTCGAACGAAACCGAAACAGAGATTATTGTCTTTATATCTTTTACTAGGACTTCCAAAAATGATAATGTTATTAGAATTTTTTCAAATCTACTTACTATATCAACAGTTGTTTTCCTAGAGCTTAGTATACTAATAGGATATCGAATTTGCGATTTCAGCATAGATACTTGTTAGCATTCCAAATAGATAACCAATTTTCAAGCGCACCACTTGCGCACGATCTACGAGTCTCGTCCTCGTATTTTGCCGTTATTACTATGCTTATTATTTATGCACCCGTGTATATGCATCTTTTTCCGGAAGATGCGATGTAGGCCTAGCAAAATAATTTTCATTTCTCTTTCAATCTAAGAACGACACCATTGAACTATTTTATTCACATTGACAGATTTAGATTTTTCTAATGTCTTTTTTCCTCCTCCTCCTCCTCCTCCTCCTCCTCCTCCTCCTCCTCCTTCTCTCCTCCTCCTCCTCCTCCTCCTCCTCCTCCTTCTCTCCTTCTTCTTCTTTTCTCCCTTTTATTTTTCTTCATTTTCAACGTAGACATTGCATAATCTAATATCGCAGAGTATAGGACCGCACGACTGATCTAAAGCGGCACGCATCCTTTACTTCTATCGGGTCCTATCATACCATTGACAAACAAACTGCAAGTTTGACGAAATTTCAACATACTGGTTAGTAGGATATAAATTGTAAGTTAAATTATAACAAATCGTTGCACGACCATTAATCTGGTACACGAATAAATAATATATTATTTGTTCAATGACTATACTTTTATATTACCTGTTAAGATTAAGCTCAACATTTAATACATCTTATTACATATTATGGTAAAGTACCGTTTAACCACTGCAATCTTAACTGTTCTTTTAATCTTATGTTTTCTAATTTTTTGGGATTATTTATAAATTTGTCGGTACTCTCTATGCGCAATGGATCTATCTTAGGGATGACATAAAAAGTTCCATTCTCGTGCAGATAGCTTCCACCAAAATCATCCGAATCGGGCAACTGGTCCGGTAGTTTAATTGGAGTTATTTTCACAAGGTGTTTAACTCTCCACAGCATCGAGCATATCTCGGGAATATTTTTAACTATTACCGGATCTCTTCCCTATAAGCCAAATATTTTATTATTTTTATAATAATATTGGGAAATATTGTCAAAGTTATTATCAAATATTTTATGACATTTCTCTTACTCTTTCTTGGATACCCAATTGTTTAAGTGTATTTTTTTCCCAATATGGATTACCGGCAAAAGGTTTTACCAATGTGATCATTAAAAGCTTCGATGGTATAATCGGAGGATCTTCATGGTTTGGTGATCTAAAATCGACCATTTAAAATTGTCGTTACGGTATGTGTCGATACAAGTTACACGTAAATATTCATACCTTGGATAATATTTAATTTTTCCATATTTGACTGCATCTACTTCCCACTGTTTTGGTGTAGAGTAATTGCGTACGAAGCTAGTCAAAACTTTCCATTTGCTTGCCATTATCGCTGACAAATTTAATCCTTGTTACAAATAATCACCCTTTACATCTACAAAAATATATCAAACGTTCTGTAAAATGAACAAGAAATTTTTCTTCTTTCAGATCATATTCAACTCACTTAAATAGAAATTTGTAATTACGTATGTACCGTCATTCAACATTCGCATAAAACGTACAAAAAATGAAAGTATACACCTGAAAACATAATAATACAATTCTTCAATCGTATTATATCTGATTCTAACGGCGCTAGTAGTCATAGTTGTCGGCGCTAGTAGTCATACTTCTCGGCGCTAGTAGTCATACTTGTCAGCGCAACCTAGCGTTTAAATGCCTTATATATGTCTTCTTATTTTTATTATCTATCTTTATTATTCTTATCTATCTTTGAAATAAACCAATTGTGTGTGGCCCTTCTTACTGTTCCTGATGTATTATTTATCTTATATAGTCATTTCGAATTTTGAAAAATAATTAGTAAAGAAAAAGTCTAGATAAAGTATTTTTCTAAAGATTGCAAAACAATCTGCTTTTTTACTATTATTTAATTAGTATTTATTTTTTGAAGGCATAATATAAATTCCGTACATCCGTAAAAACATGATAAAAGTAAAATATTATATTATTATTACTTATCTAACAATAAATCCTATGTTATTCGCACTGTATATATTCGATAATAGAAAAATCTACGTTAGACTAATCTACGTTAAAGGATAATTAATCTAATTTTCTTTCTCTCACACGAACTCTCTTTTTCCTTTCTTTTATTTTAATTAATAATATAATACATTCGTTTTTTTCTTCAATAAATTGGTATAAAAATGTGAATGATGTTCTTATGCATATATATATATATATATATATATATATATATATATACACATAAGTTATTTCAATTAATTGAGAGAATTTTTCATATAATAGAGCAACAAGCGTCACTTTGAAACTGAATCATTATTGTAGATTTCGTCTTACAAAATCAAGTAATATTTTGGTTTATTTACAGTACTAAAGTAGGAATACCTTTCATATGATAGTTCACACAATGTAAACCTTCACGCATTCACCATTCATATAATGAAGATTCTACCGTATAGCAATATTTAAAATAAATTGCATACATTAATTACCAATCTCTTTTTTTAAAATAATTCACTTAATACTCTTAAATGCTATTATTTAAAAAAGTGTTATTTTGTGTATTGAACTAATAAAATTAGATAAAGAGAAATGAAAGAAAAAGGTGAAGACACTTCAAATCTAACTTACGCTTGAAATTCAACTGACAATGAGTTTGTTTTATAATTTTCAGTCCCAAATAGGAATTTGTCTAACTATACTTTTACTATTTTTTTTTCTATTCCTTTTGCATAGTTTGACATTAATTATTATCTCATTAATTTAATTTCTAATATAGGTTAATTTTTTTAGTAATGGTTTTACGACACATATGACATGTTTTTAAAGGTGCTGCACAATGTTCACAAGCACCATGACCACATAGAAAGGCAACATTTCGTCGACGTTCCATGCAAATGCTACACATATTAGCTTCTTCGAGATCAGCTACCCTAGTTTCCAAATAACGTAATCTTTCAAGGTGTCTTTCTTTTTCCTTCTCATCATCTCGTTTATCTTCTTTTATTTTATATTCCAATGAAACATCTGTTATTTTCTTATCCGTTTTAACCGTAGGTATATTCGCCATCGCCGTTGGGCCATCTGTTTCCAAGAAAATATATTAAACAATATCATTTAAACTTGTTAATATGAATATTATAGTAGCATATTATTACCTTGAATTATTTCTGATTTGTTTGTCTTATGTCTACAATGCGAACAAGCAACAAAATTAGGAACACTACCACCAGGATCGAAACGAGATTCTTCTTTTGAGTTAATTAAAAACTGTGGGCAACTACAACAGCATTTAGCAGAATCGGTAGAATTAATTTCAACGTTTTCACGCAATAGTTCTGATTCCGATGTGGAAGTTCTATGATGTATCGTAGCTTCTGCATAGCTAGACGATGAATTATTTCCTATTCTGTAATATTGTTCATTATAATACGAATCGTTTTACCCATGGCGCGTGAAAGAATTCAAGAGAACAAAATGAAGATTTAAGAATGGTACTTACTCAAGTTGTACATTATTGCTTTGATATTCGTATGATTTTAAAAGTTTAGTGCACACTGTGACTTGCGAGTCCTCATTGAGAAGATCCAAAGGAGTTTTATTTTTCGAATTCTTAGCATGTTCCAAAAGTGTACGAGTTTTATCCACGCTTACCAGAAAACAAGCCAATGCTAATTCAGATTTTGCTTTTTGCGTTGTTAAAGTCTGCCAAATCTGCACAAACCGCGATTTTTCATAGTTGTATCGCGTTAACAGTTGTCCGTATATCTAGGAGCAAATAAGCTTTTGATAATAGACAATACAGTACCCCGTAAATAATAGGTGAATCTCTGCTACATTCTGGCGTCGGTATAGTCGACGGTTGATTCGGACTTTTGGCGACAGCAATATGCAATGCCGTATCTCCGTCTTCATCTGTGTTAGTAATGTCTGCGTTATAATCTATAAGCAGTTCTATCAGGGACCAATGCGCTTGCGAAGTAGCTAAATGCAAAGCCGTTTGTCCTCTATTATTACGTAAATCTACTTTTGCACATCCGCCATTTGGAGAAAGAAGCGTAGCAGCCACATCTTTATGACCGTTCAATGCTGCAAGGTGTAATGCCGCAAAACCATCTTCCTTTTTCACGTCTACTAAATGCCGTGCTCTTGTCATCAGTCTTTCCGTAGCACTAGAACAAACAAGTTAAATAATCTAAACTTAACTATGAAAAAAGATTAACAATCAGTTATCCGTCTGCTGCATACTTACTGTGCATTACCCTTCAAAGCAGCATGGTGTAATACATTAAAACCACGCTTATTACGTAGAGTAAAGTTAATCCTTTCGCAAGCACAAAGCGCATCGATAATATCAAGCGCGTCTTTTCCAATAGCATCGTGCAACGCTGTGTCCCCATATGAATCTTGTAGATTCACATCGCAATTATAACGTAACAATATTTTTACACATTGAACGTGCTGTTTATTTACAGCAACGTGCAGAGCACTGCATTTACCATTATTTACAGCATTGATAGCCGCACCTCGCGACAGAAGTAATTCCATTATTTCTGGTTGATTACTGTCAAAGAGTTATAACAATATAATATTATTGATAGACTAATTATTCTAATTTATTTTCTTTTCTTCTTCTTTTCTTACCCAAAAGCAGCATAATGTAGTGGAGTATCCCCATCTTCGTCGACCGCTCGTAAAGAAGCTCCGGCATCGAGAAGAAGTACGCAAAGGTCGTGCTGTCCTTGGTGTGCAGCTACTTGTAAGCAGGTTTTTTTCTCCCCACTAGGACCACCAGCTCTAGCATCTACTCTACTAGGATATTTTTTCAAAAATTCTCTTACCACTTGAACGCCTGCCTCGCCTCTGGCAGCATCTCGTAACAATTTCTCTACTTCATTATCCGTTGCACTGACTATGCGATAATACAAAATTATTCATTGCATATATACAATATCTCTATCATATTTCACACCATTATACCTGATCGATCTCTATTCTTATCTGCTTCTTCATTTATAACAGGTATGCTATGCGATCCAGGTGGCATCAATGATACGCTCAAAGGATTGAATGTCCACGTATGACCATCCAGTGCTACACGCAGATCTCCATCCGAATATATTTTTATTATTTTTCCAGTTTTTCCAAGAGCCTGTAAAATAATTCTTATCTAAGAATTATACTCAAGATATAACGTTTGAAAAGTAAAATTAGCTAAAAAGAACAAGTTATGTGTTTAGAAAAAGAATAGAGTAAAGAGTTTTTATTAAATATAAGAAAAGATACTTCATTAATACATACTGTTTTCATTACGTCTATCCATTCTCCGTGTCCTCGTTGATAATGTTTCACCGTAATTAAATCATTTTTTACTCTAACTATATCTCCAAGAGAGAATATGTCTTTGCTTGTTACTTTCGTTAAAGCTTTTGGATGAAATGTCCATCTGTTATTACAACCTTCGTATTGTACACGAATATCTCCCTTGTCTGTTACCCGATGAACAGTACCGATCTAAAAAAAAAAAAAAAATACACATACAACAATGTTAGATATATATAGATATTAACTTATTTAATAATGCATTTTATTATTTTGCAATACCTTCCCTATGTATTCTGCCATACGTGGATTCCATCCACCATGACCATCTTGCATTTCTTTAAGAGCTTCTACCTGAATCAAAACTTTGACTTTATCCCCAATGTTAAATGTTGATTGACGAAGACTAGAAACAACAACATTGGAAGTACTGCCTCTGTTCAATATAGGATCGTGTTTACTGTCTGGATATACGATTATAGGTTGTCCAAGTAGTGGAAGATGTTCCTTATAATAAGTGCCAGCAGTGGCTTCTTCTATATAACATAAATCTACGCAACCTTTATATCCAAGTCGATAGACATTAGTACTACCAATGGACCATGTAACGGTAGCGACCGAACGACTGCTTTCATTATCCCAACCACGAATATCCATAACTCTTCCACTTTTACCTATTAAAAAGAAAGAAAAAAAACCATATAATGCTAAACAATAATGAGCTAGAAACGTCGCATAATGTTATATCATATATGGTATATATACTTGCATTTACCTGAACCTCCATCTTGATTTCCCCACTCCCAATCTGGTCCACGAACTACTTTTGCTCCGATAAAAATACCTTTCAATGGTATCTTGGTACAACCTTCTCTCGCACTAAGCTGTATCCTATGCACCAACATATACATATATATTGAAATAAATTTCTATAGATTTTGAAGAATATGCAAAAGAAAAAGAAAATGAACAAGTTAAAAATTATAACTTTGATAGATAAACTTTACTAACTCTATAGAAGTAGGAGTTTGAAATCTTTGAAAAGTATGAGTTAAATCATGTACATCTGCCATATAGCATTGCGTGCATAAATCATAATCAGAGCATTCTGTACACTTCCATCTCATACCAATTATGCCACGCTTTTTACATCCATCACAAATAATATTACAGTGTTTCACACCGATAGCTGCGTTGTCAAAGACAAGTAAATCATAAGCTCCCTGATATCCAATTCTATAATTACTTCTAGAACCATGATCCCACTGAACGATAACAGTCTTGTCAGGCGTTCTATCAGCAGGATTAGGACTAGAAGCTGAACTTCCAGATGGTGGTTTACCAATTTCTACCACTGTACCGGCATGACCTTCTCCACCATCTTGGTCCTCCCATTTCCAATCTTGACCACGCACGACGCGCAAACCTACTTCCAACATTTTTGGAAGTGTTTTATTTTTAAGCGTTAAATCACTATTATATGTAAGCTAGAGGACGTTACAAATGTATGTAGATAAATTGCATAGTTAAGATAAAACAACTGTAAAAACCTCATTCCTTGCCACACAGCACAAAACTGATATTCCAAACATGTCACCAACTATGATTTCTTTCCAACAGTCACTTAAAACTACTTTATTTTTTTTAGAAGAATACTAAAGTACATTATACTTATAAAGCACAATTGATTCAGCCTGTCAAATTGACCAACTTACGTATGCAGTTGTTACTCATGACAAATACAATTAATTATGTGATAGAGAAAATATTAGGAACACGTAGAAAACGTATTTTGAAATAATGTGAGCATTAAGTAACCTATTCGCAGACATCTTTTCAATCGTAAAATTTATAATAACAATAGATTTGGTCAAATAGCGTACTCAAAGGGTGACAGATTTGATGTCATCTTAATGATGCTGCATTTCATTCTACAAATGACTTATGCTTCATTGATTTTTACAAATCATTGTTAAATAAAAAGGAAAGAGACAGAGCATACAAGAATTTTATCACTCCAAAACAGTTACACCTTTATACATTTTTACAACTTCATTTTATTATAACAAAATGAGAAGTTAAATCAACGTCACACCGCTATCGTAATCCATATTATCTATATATATATATACATATAATGCAAGCATACACAAGATACCACCATGCAGAGTCAGATGAAATCGGATTGAGCCAATCCCGTAAAGGAGAGCACGAGTAGCAGCAAATAACGAAGCTCTTTTTTTCTTTTAATCATTATCAAAAATTCAACAATACAATTGAAATCTGTCTCTGTCATTAATATTTAAAATACTTATGAAAATAACATTAAGGATCTCGGTGGACTAGAAATAATAATATGTGTGTATGGCTTAAGAAATGGCCTCATTCCTATGTGAGATTCTGATTAAATTATAAGCATATGGATTGTCCAATCAAAATTCATTGGTCAGCCTTTGCTTATGTCGTTTGGTTATTTTTCAAAATACATATTGTAATAATTTAGAAATGTTATGGCTATTCAGTTGGCAATACTGACGTTTAGCAGAACAAAGATAATGTTATTATGTCGGTAAGGTTATCTGATCGTAAATTACATTTTTGGATACATGAATAATGATAGGCCGTTGAATTATTAAGGCATAGTAACTAGTGTATTTAATAAAGATTTAATTGAAATAATATGACATAATATTTAAATAAAAGCAGATCATTTAATGATGATCGCAGAATATGAATCTGCCGTCGTAATTAAGGCCAAACCAGTTCGTAAAGTATTTAAAGCTCCAATCAAAGTTAATAAGATACCGCAAGAACTTTTGAATGATCCATTATTGAATGCAGCCGTTGCAGCTTTGCCTAATAATTACAATTTTGAAATACACAAGTCGATATGGAGAATCAAAGAAACAAAAGCGAAAAGAGTCGTTTTACAAATGCCCGAAGGATTATTAATGTATGCAACAACTATAGCTGATATTATTGAAAATTTTACGGATGCAGAAAGTATTATTATGGGTGATGTAACATATGGTAAAAGATTATAATTATAAATAAACGTTGTGAATATTATCTATTATTAATCTGATTATCTCATTTAATATTCATTTGTATATAGGTGCTTGTTGCATAGATGATTATACAGCTCGAGCATTAGATGCAGATTTCATGATTCATTATGGACACTCTTGTCTAATACCTATCGATCAAACTATTGGAATTAAAATTCTCTATGTATTTGTTAATATAAGTATTGACATTGTACATTGTATAGAAAGCATTAAAGCATCTTTATTAATTATTTCAAAAATTTCACTCGTTAGTACGATACAGTTTGTAGGAACGTTACAAGCTATTGCAATGGAACTAAAAAAAAATGGATACGAAGTTACTATACCACAGAGTAAACCATTGAGCCCAGGCGAAGTGATTTTCTTTCTATTTTATATTCTTATTTTACTCTATTATAATATATCAAATTAATATAAATCATTATTAAAGATTTTAGGTTGCACTGCGCCACAAACGCATTGCACAGATGCTATAGTCTATATAGGAGATGGTAGATTTCACCTCGAAGCTGCTATGATTGCTAATCCAAATTTACGAGCATTCAGATATGATCCTTATGAAAAAAAAATGACAGAAGAATTCTATGATCACAAAGAAATGCGTGAAACAAGACTCTCGGCGATTAATGTAGCAAAGAGTGCTCAAATATTTGGAATGATACTTGGGACTTTAGGTCGCCAGGGACATCCAAGAATTGTGGATCACTTACAAAATAGGTTGAAAGCTTTAAGAAAAGAAAGTATTATTATTTTGCTTTCCGAAATATTCCCAGATAAAATGAAGTTATTCAGAAACGTAGATAGTTTTATACAGGTATATTAATACAACTTTAAGGAAAGTTTTTCAAATAACGCTTCTTCATTTTAGCTAGATTTCTTTTCAAATATGATATTTGAGAAGATTATTTTGTTATAATGTTTAAGGTTGCATGTCCACGTCTCAGCATCGATTGGGGTGCTCATTTCCATAAACCTTTTCTTACACCCTACGAAGGTGCGGTCGCCCTGGAGATGGCCGAATATGATAGAAATCAAGCATATCCTATGGATTTTTACTCCGCGGCTAGTTTAGGTCCATGGACTCCAAATCATAAAGAGTTTGAATTAGAGAAACGCGTTAATACATGTTGTGGTAAATGTAAAACTGGAGAATAAGAAATAAAATATTTTTTATAGCTTACTGATAGTTTATTGCCAATAAATAATCCTATAGATTTGTTATCTGAAAGAAACAAATTATACGATGCCTTATTTTATTTTATTTTTTTCTTTCTTCCTCTTGCTCTTCTTCTCTTTATCTTATTGTTAGATATCAATATTTTTTCATATATATATATATATATATATTAATTGATTTGATTTGAAAAAATAAAATCATCCCTAATATAATGCGCGCACCCTTTTTTTAATACACACTCTTGGCTGGTGTAGTTAGTGGTAAAGCGGTAATAAGCAAATAGGACTCCGCGTGGGCGAATTACGTCATACGCCCACCTGTAGCCACTCATATATACGACGCATACATACAAACATTTCGAACGCTATAATATATACTAGGTGTCCTTTTAAACATGTTCTTTTTATTCTTTGAATTAAAATAACAATACAATTCTTCTTTGAATCTTACATTTGTTTGTTCTATTAGCGATAAAAGATTTATTGCAAGAATGACGTTGAAATCATTCGTAGAAATAAAAAATAAACGAAATAATGACTTATTATTTAAAATTAAACTCCTGCATTTTTCTTTAATTTCTTTGATTTAAGTTTTTGATTAAGTTTTCATTAAACAATTTAATTATCGAAACACAACGTGTTCGATCTAATTATTTGGCGGAAATAAAAAAATGAGTTTACATTTTGGTTTGATCTATCAATAGGTAATAGTTGAAAAGAAATTCTGACATTTAGCAATGAAGAATCAGCCACGCCGTAGGTGGTGCAATATTGGAGGGTGGAAGGTGGCGCCGACCGCACCCCGACGTCGCGACGGCAGTCTTCCAGCGTGGCTCAACAAGTACACGCGGTACTCGAACAGCGATTCAAATTCTTTAACATCATTAAATTATATATAAGGTATGATTCTTTACAATATCGGAAAAATAGACAGTCCTCTTCAGATCGTCACTTTAAATAATGCTATTTCTACAAATTTCTCATATAATAAATATAAATATAAATATAAATATAAATATTAATATTAATATTAATTATACCGCATTTTGTTTTGTTTTCTTTTCTTTTCTTTTTTCAATTATATAATATATTCATCTTATTATCTCATTATTTATTAATTTTACGAAGCTTTCAAGTATATCATAGAGAAAATTATATTTTTATAGCAATTTTATTATAATACATATACTACTCTTGCATATATATATTTTATTTTTATTCAATATATCTTTGCTTGTAAAAATATAATGTCGAATTTTACTCTTTGGATAAAAACAATGAGTATCGTATTGGTTGTATAAATACTTTAAGATCTTAATTTTTAGATTAAGTAACGTACATTTTCAATGATATAATAAATGAGTATAGATTAATTTACATTTGATAACGCAGTTGCTTCGTATAATGAGATCTAAAGTAACGGGTGAAAGCAATTGGGAAGCAAAGTGGACTGAACAAGGAGTACAAGATAGCGGTACAGTACGTCGAACATCAAGAAAATCAGACAAATTTAGATTATCAAAGTCCCCGCGAACATCTACATCCAAAGAAAGAACGCTTCGTAGATTAGAAAGTAATGAAAGAGAAAGAATGAGAATGCACAGTTTGAATGATGCATTCCAGGTAAATATTGATTTCCCTCGTAATAATAATAATAATAATAATAATAATATAAATATTAATAATAATAATAATAATAATTATTATTACAAGATTATTTGAAAGATATGTGCGACATTGAAAAATGTTTATTGTTTCTTTTACTAGTCTCTACGCGAAGTAATTCCACATGTTACCAAGGAAAGACGTCTTTCCAAAATAGAAACTCTTACATTAGCCAAAAATTATATAGTTGCTCTTACGGATATAATATGTGCAATAAGAAACGATGAAAACCCTACTAATCAAAAAGTTGAAATATCGGAATCCCAAAAACCAGCGTGTAACGCAAATATTTGCATGGACATAAATACACCGGCTTCTTCAAGATCTTGCAGTCCAGAAGTTCAAAGCTTCTATTAAAAGGAAGTACATTTTAATGGGTTACAATAGAAAAATAGTGAAACCAAAGCTACAAGTCTGTGAAATATTAACAATGTAGATCAAAAGCGAATGTCTCAAAGTTTTAAAAATCATTTTACATAATCGTATAACATACCATATTCTTCTCAAGATATAGAACATTAATGCTATGACATAAGAGTAAAAACTACTCACTTTTTTTTATCCTTTAATTAGTTGACTTTATATATTATATTATTATTATTCGTATACATTTTTATACAATATTTATTGATAATACATTACAGCATCAAGTTGTTGCTGCAAACAACAAAAATGATATTAACATTCCTCATATCTATCAGTATTATCTTTTGCAATCTCAGTATCATTATTTATTATATGCTCATTATTAGATGGTATAACGTATGCTGAAATAGTACAAAGCATTTAACATTTGTTTATTAATAAACAAAGTATATCAAAGTATTATAAAACTAGAGAGATATATATGTTACTTTTACGATATATAGATGTTTAATATACGAATTTTTTCGTGGATGAAAATATTACGGATTTACTTGCTAGAGATAATATTATTAAATTTATAAATTATTTTTTAACGTAATATATATTTATATCGTACTATAATATATTTTGTGAAAAATGAAAACTGTGTAGTTGTAATGAGTAATTACAAACATACATACATACATACACACACAGATATGTATATATACACGTAATATATTGTATGCACATGAAAAAAATAACTTGATTTCTTTAACAATATCAGATAATCTCACAGAATCGTGGAAAATGCAACAAGAATATTTAATTATATTACGAATAATGTTGTATAAATCATTTATATAAACCGCGATCAATTTCACCAATTTTGTTATAAATCACGCAACTAACACTTTGCCGTACGCAAGCAAGAGATAAATATATGAATATAGAGAAACTTTGCTGCATGGAGGGGGAGCCCCCACCGTAAGAAATTTATAGTCGCAGTATATGCAATTCTAAGGTGATTCATGTAACTTGTACGCGTGGTCTTTGCCAGTTGATATTAAGTCAAAGTAGATTTTGTAAAATGACAGACGGCAAGAACGACAAAACCAAAGTAGATTTAGGATTACTCGAAGAAGATGATGAATTTGAAGAATTCCCAGCAGAAGGTATATATTACGTTTTTATTATGGGATATATCGAAACATAACCTTTATTTCGCTGAATCATTTGATAGATTGGACAGCAAAAGATGAAGATAATGAAGATATTAGTGTATGGGAGGATAATTGGGATGATGACGACGTTGAAGATGACTTTAATCAACAATTGAGGTATATATCACGTAATAGATATTTCACCTTAATCTTATTTTCTTCCTATGATTGTATGTCTCTACAATGTGCCTTTCTTTATATTCTTTATAAATGTATAGCGATTAATATGTAGCATTGTCATTTTAGAGCACAACTAGAAAAACAAAAAGGTCAAGGTGAACCAACAAAAGAAGATTAAACAATTTGTGATATTTAACTCTACTCTTCATATGCATTGATAAGTTATGTAAATTTTAATGTGTGCTTCTTCTTTGCATTAAATTTATAACAATGTACATATGTGCATTACGGATTCTCTGTTATACGTAATATATATACTATAGAAAGACTATTTGATTATAGTATTTAAATTAATATTGCGATACAACAATCTTACAGATGTACTTTGCAAATTATTCAAATTAAGTTAAAATAATGCGCAGAAACATTCAAATATGAATAATACTACAGAAAACTATATTATTTTAAATGGTATTACATTATACCAACCGATATGATATATAAAATAAAAAAAATTACTCTCTGATAGTAATAAAAATTCAATTACAAAATAGTGTACGAAAATGGTTCATTAAATATTTATATTATAAAACACTGATACAGAGATATACTGATTTACAGATTACACATAATCTTTATTATCTGCTATTCTGCGCGAGATAGTACTAAATAAATACTTGGCATTTCTTATTGCAAATACGTGATCAGGTACACAGTTCTTCATTTTTTTTTATGAATTATACATGTTTTAATATGTGTATTTTTTCTTATACTTTTTTAAGCTTCTGTTTTATCAAGTTACACAAAACACAACAATTAACATGCATCATGATTTGTTCTACAGGAAATCAGTAATTGTGACATCAAAACATCTAAAATTTGCATATTTAAGTCCAGATTAATCTTTCTTATCTCATATGAAGTAAGCAAATACTTGAAAATCTTCAGTGTATCTTCCTCTCCAAAAATAAGTTTCATATCGCACGGGATTATTTGTTTTAATATTTCAAATATTTTATCCTTTGTAAGTAGAGCAGATTCTGTTGTGACGTTACTTTGTGAATTATATGTAAAGGACATATCGCTTAAACTGTCTGATAGCCTCATAATCATTTTCTGAAAATAATATATAAGTATTATAAGCCCTTCAAATATCGGACCCTGTTTTTTTATCACCCTATATATATATAATAAATATCAAGTCGTATTTTATCTGCTCAAGAAATACCTCTATAAGGGGTTCAGTTATATTTCCAAATAATAATTTAGCCCATCGAACAACAGCTTCTTGTTGTAACACATTGTTACTCCCAATACCAGTCAATACCTCGCAAATTAAATCGATAACAACACAAGTTAAAGATAATTTAGAATCCAACTCCTCCGTTTCTTCTGTAATGTATATAGTATTACACAGATTTTGTTAAAGTCAAATTGATAAAATGTTCTTACCATCGTAAGAAGTGTTAACTATGTTCCACCAATGTGCCATTAATTCAGAATCTCCACTGCCTTCCATACTATCAACTGCTTCGTATGCTGTATCCACAGAACAATAATAAATCCTTTCGGCCACCAATTGCTGTAATTCGTATGCTAAATTTTTCTATAATGATAATGCATAGTTATAATGTAATATATCTTGCATAGTATATTTCATAAAATAACAATATATCTATTCACCGACTTAATATCTTCTACGAATCTCCATGGTATATCGGATAAGGGTATTAATGTTGGCAATGGTATAACTTCTTCTTCCGAATCCAACTCAAATCTAGGCACAACTGTTTTTAAAGTATTAAATACCCCACTGACAGTTTTAGCTAAAATTCTATCAAACCGTGGTGCAACTATATCTGCCTTTTTTCCTGCATTACTATTTGGCCGCAAAAAATGACGTAATTGCGTTGGACATTCATTGGCTAAACGTATACAGAGATTTCGTAAATAAGTTTCCATTTCAACGCGTCCACCTTCTGGCAATTCTAATTCTGACATAATACTGGCTATTGATGGTATCTGGGAAACAAATAAGATTATATTTATAGATTTTAATTTTCAAATTGAATTTATTTAATTCAACATAATCTTACCTCTTCTAGAGAAGTATGTAATTGGACAAAATCAGAGTGTTGCCTTTTAACCGTGGCAGTTGTAGTCTCAAACAAATCTACTCCACGTTGCTCGACATCATCAAATTGAATGCAATATAATAATTGCTGCGAGCCATCGATTGTCGTATGAAATTCTGTCCACGGTATACATAAGTTTATAAATTGATTACCTTCATATATTACATAAGATTTGTCCTCTGTACGCCTGTAATAATAAATTAAAAATAAACAATTTTAATATTAACAATCCATTAATAACTTACAATGGTGTAGTTGCAGTAGACTTTTGTTGTAACAGATTTCTTAGTCTTGCAATAGTTGTGGCAAAATCTGTTGGTTCTTCATATATGGGTGATATTCTGTTATTATCGATCTCTGAATCCACCTCTGATATGTTTATGTCTCCCCAAAGACCCCTATGCTGTATTCTTAAACCTTCTAAACTTAAAGACCGCTTTCCAAGATCGATCGACGATGATGAATTTTGATTTTCTTGCTCTAATCTTGTCATCGACTTATTAGAAAATGCAGGTTGTAGTAATGGACATGGAATTACTGTAGCCACTGCGGATGTTATACCATCGCTCAACCCTATAGAAACAATGTCCTAAAATTAATAGCAATTATTTTGTGAATATTTTCACTTAATCTATATATATATATATATATATATATATATATATATATATAAAATATATAATAATAAATTATTTACATCATCTTTTGTCCACAGTTTGTTTGCTTCTTTTGGTGTACTTTGTAGTAATTTTAATAAACTTTCAAACATCCAATTAGGACAACTAATCGTTTGGATCATTGTCAAAAGTTTTCTAGCTAAAATAGATACTAATAATTTACAAGGTAGGGAACTAGTCAATTCCCACTGCAAAAATTCTTGAGTTAAAACGGTAACTAGACGATGAAATATATGTTCCAAAGTTAGCAAACTTCGGGAACCAGGATGCAAACATCTGTACGCTTCTTCTAGATTTGTACAAGTACCCTTTTCAACTCTACGCAATGCTCTGTAAAATAATTTATTAAGTTGAAATAAAAAGAGATGATTGTCCTATAAGATGTAATTAATCAAATTCATGGTATAATTCTAATTACCTGCGATATTCCTTTAAATGTAATAATACTACATCGGCCAGTTTATTAGCAAGCTTTATTTTATCTATTGAATTAGCTTTTTGAAATATTTTTCTTAATAATATTTTTAATAATGTCTGGGCTTCATTAGGAAATGCTTTATCGGTACTTATATTTTTGTACCAAACATCTATACAGTCAACATTAATTTCTCTTATAATGTTGTCTACATATATAATGTTATTTTTTGATAAGGAATCTCCATTGTATAAGTCATTTGTATTTTCTGGATTGACAGTTTTTATATGTATTTTGTTATTACATGCTCTTTCAAATTTGGACATCTTTGCTTTTTCTTCCGTATCCAAATATTCCAACTCAAAATATTTTGGTAGTCTTTTATAAATCCATTTCTTTATAAATTCTATATTTATTGGCACAGTTCTTTTTAAAGTAAATCTAAGTAAAATGCAACTAAGCCATATTGACATGATCATGACAAATGTAGTCCATGAAAGTGAAATATATATAGGTACTGGTGTAACTTCAACCCATTGTTGAATAATTAAACACAAAAAAATGCTTGTTATACAAAATAACAATAATATCTTGTTCAGCCAGCTTATTAGTATAATATTTTCCATTTTTCTTGATCACGTCTAAATTAAATTTCTATCAAATAATAATTATATCTAGAAAGCAATAAACATATTTACACAATTTATATACATTGTATCTTGTGTTATTTTTAATTTCAATGTATTTCATTTATTCACTTACACATATGTATTAAATTATGAGACTTACTGATCCCCACTATGAATCTTAAATACGATTCTTTGTACGCTTTAACAATTTTCATTTACATTTTTAGAAACACATATCAATGCATATTGTCTTAATTCACTTGCATGAGGATAGCATTACATTATTATCAATGTGTAATTATAATGTTTAATTGTCAAACATATTTCACATAATCCATTTATTATTTCGAATGTATCTTTTTTTTTCTAGAAAAATATGAAAATACATTTATCCTATGTAATAGCTACGATTATCGAGGAAATGATTAAATGATGATTAAGTGCATTTTTATAGTTATAATTCACCACGATCAAGGTAAAAGGAAGTATCGAAAACTAATAAAAGAGATTTCTTCAAATGTCTCATGTCACAAATATTATTTTGATAGCGGGATTATTAGCACGTTTCTGTATATCAGTTAACCTCTTTTAGCTTCCATTACTTATGATTTCTTAATCATAATCACTATTAATCATAGCTTTTTACTTGTCGATGATAATTTATCGATTAGAAAGTTAATTATAATGATTTTAGATATTAGGCTTATATGCATGAATATTAAAAAGTTATATTACATGTGATACATGTTAATTATAACACAATTTGTTTTTTTTTAATTAATTAATTTTTAATTTAGAATAATTGTATGATTTATTACCACACATTATATTTTATAATAAATTAGGTAGAAAAAAAGGAAACCATTTCTATCGACGAAATATATATTGTTATAATTTGAAATAATTTGGATCAATTTAAAATTTTGGATTAATGATCAATTAGAATTCGCGTATTACGCAACATTTGTCTCTCTATGTATGATGTGTATGTAGATCTACCAGGTAATGCATCTCTTTCACGCACGATATAATGAATAAATATATATATATATATATATATATATATATATATACCAAACAAAACACTTTCTCTTTCTCTCTCTCTCTCTCTCTCTTTCTCTTTCTCCCTCTCTCTTTCTCCCTCTCTTTCTCTCCCTCTCTCTCTCTCATCTCTTTCCTTTTATGTACTGGTACCTATGCCGTTTACGTCAAGTCCATGAATACTAAATGATAAACGAATGTTATCAGCAAGTATTTCTTCTAACATCTATTATAATTTTCAACTAAGGCAATTAATAGTTTCTTTGTTTTTTATTAATGTCATGAGTATCGAATATATTCATCGGCAATGTCAAAATTTTGCCATAACCTAATTTAAATTTCATTAATATTAAATAAGATTACATAAAAAAGAGCTCAATTATAATGAAATAATAAAAAAAAAGATAAGTACGTATCATTCCAGCAAGATTAGATATAATTGTCATTTACCTTTGTACCGTTCTCTTATGAAAAAAAAAAAAAAACGACACACATATTAATGTACTATTAATTATTTTCTCAGTTTTCCGATTACCGTGTCACCAACAAATAGTGACCATTATTTAACAAGTTGACTTTGTGTAAATGAAAATAAATAGTAGAAGAACCATAAAGGAAAAAATAGGATTTGTTTTGTTTTTTTTAGTTTAAAAAAAAAAGGCACAAACGTTGCTTTCGATGCGGTATTATGCAGTCAACAAAGTAACGTGACACAATTTCCTTCGTCATATTCTTCTTATATTTCTTTCTATGCTTTTTTAAAATTTGGCTCGCATACGCTAAGATAAATATAATATAAATACCAAATAAAACACCATGGTAAGGCTTTTTCCCATTATTAGAATATTTTAGTGAACAGTGATGTGATATTATTTGTTTATTATTTTGTTCAAATCAATCTATCTATCTATTTATCTACTTATATCTATATATATATATATATATTTATTATGTAATATAAATAAATATAATAAAATGTGTCTAGTTTCAGAAAGATGGAGTCAGATTGCGTCAGAATACTACACGCAGATTCTTGGATAGTAATTCACAAGATGATAGGATTATTTTTAAGAGGAAAGATATACTGCCAAATGAAACTCCACATTTATTTTTTGTGCTTACTTTTTTTCTATTTCTATCCTTCATTATTATTGTGTTAGAGAAACATTTACCAGAACCTTGTACGATAGAAAATGAAGAACTTTATCCTGGTAGATTTATTGCCGAAAGAGCTCGTAATCACATAATAAACCTTACATCTATTGGCCCACGAATTGTTGGAAGCTATGAGAATGAAGTATTAGCTGTTAAATATTTAACGACGGCAATTAATGAAATTGTCAATAATATGCATGAAAGTCATAAAATTACAATCGATATTACTAAGCATAGCGGATCATTTCCATTGAAATTCTTAGATGGCATGACAAATGTATATAGAAGTGTTCAGAATGTTGTTGTTAAAATTGGGCCACGTAATCCAGCAAACTATAGTTTATTGATAAATTGTCATTTTGATACCTTTCCGGAGAGTCCAGGTAAATATTTTATATATAACGTAATAACAATAATTTTTTATTATTTTTGTCTTTTCAAGGAAAATTCATTTCTTTTAGTATATTCTTTGAATATAATTACAGGTGGTTCTGATGATGCTGCTGGATGTGCTGTGATGTTAGAAATATTACGCGTAATTGCTTACAGTCCACAGTTTTTGAAGCATAATATTATTTTTTTATTTAATGGAGCAGAAGAGAATTTATTAGAGGTATATCTCATTTTTTCCAGATTGATTGAAACTTCAGGAAAATGACAAATAAAAAAGTATAATTTTTTATTTTACAGGCTTCACATGGTTTTATAACGCAACACTCTTGGGCCAAGGAGATTAGAACTTTTATAAACTTGGAAGCATGTGGTGCAGGTGGCAGAGAATTACTGTTTCAAGCTGGTCCTAATAGTCCATGGATTTTGGAGGTTTATATTAATTCATGTTTATTTATTTTATCTATTTTATATATTTCATTTGATTTCAATAGATTCCCATTTTTCAGATTTATTCTAGATCAGTTCCATATCCATTTGCATCATCCTTGGCGCAAGAAATATTCGAAAGTGGCATTGTTCCTGGAGATACTGATTTCCGAATATTCCGAGATTTTGGAAATATTTCTGGTAATTGAATGTTCATATTAAAAACTTATTTTTATATATTAAAAATATTATTTTTAATAAAATATTATTAAATACTATAACTTCATATATTTATATTTTGAATATATTTTGTTCAGGTGTAGATTTTGCTTGGTCAACCAATGGTTATGTTTATCATACAAAGTTTGACACAGTCGATCAAATTCCATTAGGATCTTTGCAGAGGACTGGAGATAATATTCTTGCTCTTGGCCGAGGAATAATGTTAGAGGATTTGCCGGATATAACGTCACAGAATGCAGTAGAAAATATTGTATTTTTTGATTTTTTGGGTGCATTCGTTATCAGATGGCCATTGTATGTTGCAAGCACAATAAATATTCTCTCTATTTGTATAGGAATATATTCTATATATATGAGTATACAAAATGCACGCAAAGGTAAATATTGATATTTATACTAACATAATTGACTATAGACTACTAAATTGGAGCTTATATTTTGTTATTTAGATGCAAAGAAGTTCACATATTTAAAACATTTATTAATTTGCGTCGTTGTTATTGTTAGTTCGTGGCTCCTATCATCGTTTATATGTACAACGATTGCACGAACTCTTACAAAATTAGGAAAAGTAATGAGTTGGTATGTAAGACCAGCATGGCTATTCTTTTTATATGTTTGTCCAACTGTTTTCACCTCAATGATTTTATTCTTGTACATTGGAACTCGACAAAAGAAGGTAAATGGCTGATTTTTGTTAGTATAATGAATAAATGTTAATATTTCTCATCTCAATTAATCTATGTTATTTTAATTTGTAAAAATAACGATGAAGAGAGAAATACACTGTGTGTATGTAGAATAATATAAATTTTACAGGAAATAAATTCCATGTGGACTTTGTATCAAATTTATTGCGATGCATATTCTGTTATATGGATGGTAATACTTTTCTTATGTATTTTACTTAAGATAAGGTCTGGCTTTATACCTTTGTATTGGGTTTTTTTTCCTGCTGTTGGAAACGTATTACGTCTTAATTATTTCTATAAATGGAGAGGTATTAACTAATTTTAATTAATATCTATTCTTGTTTAGTTTCATTGTCAAAAGATACTTATATGTATATTTATTTTGAATTTCCACAGGCTGGAAATGGCTTTGTTACCACATAGGAATGCTCACTTTACCCTATACGCAATCATTTTATTTAACACTCGGTGCTTTGTATCTTTTTATTCCTATAATGGGACGTTCTGGCGGTAGCCTTAACTCTGAAGTTGTTATGGCTAATATATTGTCATTATTATTTTGTTTGTTATTTAGTTTTACAGTAAGTTGATCATTATTTCATGAAAAAGAAAATATATTTACGCAAATACTATTCATGTTTTTTCTTATTTTCTTTTTTCTTCTCTTTCAGATGCCTATAGTAATTATAATAAAGAATGCAGAACGGATTATAAGCGTATTGACAGGAATATTTTTAATAGCAATTGGAATACTAATATTAACACCTCTTGGTTTCCCTTATAGTGGTAATCCATTATCTCCTGCGCCGCAACGTTTTATGATAGCGGTAAAATCAAAAATATAATTCATTGCAGATATGCAATATATTCGCAATATATTGAAACATTTCGTATTTCCTAACACGCAGCACACACAAAGACAATATTACCATTTTGATGGTAGTCTAAGATATTCTGGAACGGGATATTGGCTGGTTGATTTAGATATGAATAGTCCTCACAGTGTACAATCTATGGTACCAGAAGTTAACGCTGCCATACCAACGATCAAGGATTGTGAGAACGAGCTATATTGTGGTTTACCATATTTAATGCCAGTTACAACATTTTTATGGTAAAAATATATTTATTTTATATTACTTTTTGGAAACAATTTGTGCGTGCTAGTTATGGATAATATATTAGATAACATTATTAGCCAAGAATATAATTTGTATCTATAATGAAACAAAATTACGCTTTTATAGGAAGACTAGTTGGATATCAGGACCTGCACCATTTATAAATGTTCCAACCAAATTAGATCTTATATCAAAAATAATTAAACATAATGTTACAAGTTTTACCTTTAATGTAACAGGTAATAGTGTTTTAGCAAATTGAAGAATTTAATAATTAATAAATAAGATTAAAAGTTAATATAATAATTTTTCGTCTTTATATAGGTCCAGATCACATAGGTATAATTATTTCTCCGTACAAAAATGTCCATTTAGAAAAGTGGAGTATATCGGACAAAGAGCCATTGAAAGGTCCTATGTGGAATGGCAGAGAAACTTATTTCATTTATTATTCTTGTGCCTCTGATTGTATTCCTTATACATTTTCTCTCGAATTAAATGTAAGTCTATAATTTTTTATTAAGTATAATTAATGGAAATTAAGCAATTACTATATTGTAGGTATCTACATTAAAAAATGTCCCTTCTTTATCAATTGCCCTGGCTGGTCATACATTGCATGGAAAATACCAGAAATCTTTGAGATTTAAAGAATTTTTAAATCAGTTTCCACCATGGGCTGTTATAACACCATGGACTGCAACATACACTTCCTGGGAATTTTAATGGACCTAAACTCTGCTGTACCAAATTAAAACCAAAGTTTTATATATATATATATATATATATATATATATTTCTTGAAAAAAATCATAATTATTTATATGTTTAAAAAACGAGGTACCATGGCAATATCATAGTGCAGAAAATGCATTTATCTAATTGTTTCGGCCTAGATCTAATAAATGCCTAATAATACTTGAGCATAATTTCATAGTTTATGTATTAGTCAATAGTTAAAGTTTGAATTGAAAATAGGGTTTATAATCTTGAGATATATCTCTCTTCAGTTGTTATTATAATATTTTTTAATTTATTTTTAATAATCTATCAAATGATATGTAAAGTATATCGAAGATGAAATAAGTTAAAATAAATAGAAATTAATCATAAAAGTAAATTATATATCTTTATACTCGTAAGTAACTACATTTGAATTCATACATCCGATTTGGAACATTATGCGATAATTTAATAAACAATTACATTACGTTAGCAGGTATCTTGTTCATAAATCGTCGTAGGATTTTTGCAAAAAAGAAAAATGCAAAAAGAATATTGTAAATTTATTATATTGTACGTTTAAATTATTTTGAATATTAGAAATATTTTAATGCGTTTGTACGCGACATATCATGTTGTAAATCGTATTTTAAATCGCATTGTAAGATAGGAGATAGGCGGTATTTTAGGTCTCTCTTGTTTTGTAAGAGATGTGCCAATATTGATACATACTATGCGGCATATTATAAAGCTAAGTGAATTAAAGAAATTTTCTTGGTTAAATAAAATTAAATAGAGTCCTATATTCGTGCCAATTACAATTGGCATCTGGTTGATCGAGCCATCTGTTTTGTTGTTTTTCTTTTTATGTTATTTGATTTTGTATGATTTATTCGAAAAATGACATATAGATGTAATAGAAATAGTAAAATATTAGAAAATCAATATCGACACGTAATGTTTTTAAAGGCTGATACATTGGGTTATAAATAATATTGCATAGTTATGCCAAGATTAAATATTAATTACGATTTACGACATTAGACCATTTTTATGGGATAAGATTCTACCAATAATAGCGTTAATTATGCCAACGCATTGGCACTATGGAGTTAAAAAGAAAAAGATAGAAACTCATAGATTTTACTAATTAAAGCGCAATACAATTAAGATCTAGTTGTAAAATACTTTGTTGACTAGGAATATACCAGGTGTAACTTGTTAACGTCTACATCTAAATCGAAGTTGATTGTTATTTAAATTATTCACACTTTAGCAATAGATAATAACCAGTTATACTGCGAATGGCCACGATTTCTTAGAAGAAAGAATTTTAAATAACGTTTCAAGCTTGTTACCACTATTGCGTCCTAATATTTAGCTTCAATTTTCAATAAAATTCTTACCTTTATTTCTTCATTTCCATTTCGTTATTATTTTTGGTAAATCTGATCAAATCTTATTCGCTTCTGAAATATTCGTCTTGTATGCAAGAAAATATCTGCTTTTAGTCCACTCAAATAAAGGCAAACTACCAGAATTTATTAATTTTGGTAAAACTTGATATAATGGTAATTCGAAATTAACAAATTCTGGTAGTTTGCCTTTATTTGAATGGACTATTTCTTACGAATTCTTAATAGTTTGTCTTTCAATTAGTATCTACTTTAATATCTACTTTAGTATCTTCCTGTATCCTCCTGTGTCTTCCTGTAAGCTAATCTTATTTGTACGCTGTACTTTCCTCAAGAATTATCTTGAAATATTCAAAAATATTTCTATAGGAACGTGTATTAAAAAAGTTTGACTAGTCTTTGCGACTTTTTACGGAATTAACAAATTATATTAGTTAATGTCAATTATAAAGCAAATAATAATTTCAAAGCATAATATAAAATGTATTTGTGTTCTTTTTTAATATTATTTATGTTCATTTATTTCGTAGGAAAGTTAGGGATCCCAATGTTCGAAACCGGATGGAAGGAACACGTAGGTGCGTTCCATCGTTGTTCGTATTAGTGCGATTTTCTACAGTTTTATAGGTCCGTGCGTGAAGTATGCGCGCGTACGTGTTTCGCGTACTGATTAATTATTCTCCGTAGGTTTTTTTCTTCCTTCTTCTCTTCGTCACTTGAATACCGTGCCAACGACAATGACGACGACGACGACGACGACGACGACGGCGACAACGATAACGACAACGATAACGACAACGATAACGACAACGATAACGACAGCGATCACGACCATGACCACGATCAGTACCACAACGACGGTAGTCTATCATTGTTACCAAACCTTTCGGAGACTTACTCTGCAAATATGTTCGATTCTCCCTTCTCTCAATAATTTAATGCTTTTTATTTTTATTTATAATCTAATCAAAGTTGCAATTAGTGTGCAGACAAATAAAATGATAATGCGTATAGCATATTTTGCATGTACTATAGCTCGGTAAATTTGTCTGCATAGATCTAGCAATGAATCGCTAAGAATTTCTTCTTATCATATTCGACTAATATATAAGAATATTTATAGAAAATTAGCGCAAGTAAATATATACATACAATAAGTGTGATGTCACCGGTCTGCGATCAGAATTTGGTACACGCGAACGCGTGATTCGCATAAGAATGTCTCAACACGACGTGGCGGCAATTCTGTCTAACGATTTGGAAGCTCGATTCTTTTTCATATCCGGTCATAGACGGTTGGGGTCATATATGAGTTTGTTGCGCGCAACTTGCTCCTTGGTAGCGGAAGTCACGAAGCGCTGGAGACTACTGGTTAACGATATTCCAAGGATTTATGCACGCACGCACGCTCGTGACAACGTATCCATATCTACCTATATCGATGCATTTCTCTTTTCTTCCTTTCTTTGCCTCACCATCGAAATTTCACTTGATAGATATTTTTTGGTCGGTAGGTTGGATTGAATATTAATTAGTAAGACTATGTTTGCCAAATGACGTTGTTTGTCAAATGTCTTGCTCGTATGTTGCCGAATTTGGTAAAAAAAAAGCATTAATTGTCATAAAAGATGACAATAAAGAAAGGATGCCCGTTTGAAGGAGACAGGAGGTAAACGATTAATTCTAACCAATGAAGCGAAGAAATACGGAACTTCATCCCCTCTCGACATCCAGTAGCATCGTTTTCCTCTTCCTTGCGTCCCTAGTTTTACTTCTTCGAAAGTAACAACTTGACACGTTCAGTTCTTTAGCGAACCTCGAAACCTCGAGCTCGAGTGGAGGTGTCTTTTAAAATAAGCTTCTTTCTAATTATACAAACGTCTCGGTAATTTTATTTATTATATATTTTATTGCTATCTGTGAATTTCAAATCATTTCTATCAGAGATCTTTCTACGATTGTAACGTTTTTCCCTTTGTGATTGAACTTATTGTTCTAAAATCCGATGCGGTAATAAATGTCAGAAAATGTGGATTTGTCGTGAACAGTTTTCCCCGTGAAATTGAAATATTATGCTGCTAAAAGGTTGAGTATCGTATAACAACTCCTTATTTAAAAATCCAATGTTGAATGTTGATTAGGCATCTTGTTGGAAGTAAATTAAAATTGGGCGCCTGGAAGGCAAGATGTCGGCATAGCTGATGAATTTCGATATTCGGCTGTGTCACATCCAGCCAACCAGCCGAATCTCCAGATTTCGTCCTAGAATTCACTAATAGTAATGCTGTGTATTTGAAGATAAAAGAACTAGGAAGATGGAAGAAAAAACGGACGTATGTTTTATTTACTGTTTTTAATAATGAGTATTTATATATATATATATATATGGAGAGAGGATACTTTAAGGAGTGCTCCCCATAATTACGCATTTCAATTATGTTCTAGAAAAGTTCAAATGTCAAATTAAATTATGCTGCAAGATATCTTTTGTTATATTTATATAATTTTAACTACACACAAATAAATAATAAATTATAATTACTACTAGTGTACTTTTAGTCTTTGTAATTAGGGAATAAAAGAGATTAAAACCACAAATCCTTAGTATTATAAATAAGTGGAAAGTATATTTCAAGATGTTAAGTATTTCTCTTTATAGATATTATTTATTCAAATTTTCACAAAACAAATTATAAACATATAGGTTGCTTGATATAAGTCCATAAAATTTAATACAAAATATCTAATTATTATCGATCGTGACTGTGCTATTTGGCAGGAAATAAAGAGAACATTTTTTTAAAAATCCTTTGAGAATAATTTATTCGCGAATGTTCGAACAGATAATAACTATAATCGATGACTTAATAACATTACTAATACTTTAATGCAATTTATTTTCTTGCAATACTTTTATTTCATTGATCCCTCTTCCAACCACGATAGAATAAAATGATATAATTTTGTGGCAATTCTGTATAAGCTCGGAGATTGTGGGACTTGTCCTTTTCAGCGGTAGCATATCATGTGCCTTTCCAGATCACATTTAAGTATATGAGACTATTTAAATTAATAAACAATAGTAAATAGCTTGAATAAAATATTAATGAATGCATCTATCAATACATTTACTATATCTATATACAATATGAAAGGCATTTAAATGCCACCCTCGAATCAAAATTTTGACGTTTTTCTAATCTCCAATGGGAATCCAGATGTTCCAGTAGTTTGAATCGTTTTCCTACCGTCGCAAAAATGAAAGATTTGTAACAGGAGGGCATGACGATACAAAAGGTACAAGAGGTATTCGGGGCAGAGAGTAGGACGTCCCACAACAAGAGCGCTGATTGGTTGATAATAGACGTCCAGCTCTTAATAGACGCCCAGCATCATGGTTAGTTATAAAAAAATTAATTTAATACACTTCCAGACACAAATTGTAAACATTTAAGCACTCAAAATACTCTACAGACTTTTAAGAATAATATGATTTTATAAAAGTTTACAAAAAAGCTTCAGAAAATACTTTTTTATAGATGATCGTAATGATCTATTAACATAGATGTTAGTCACTCGTTAAAAAATTAATTTTATATACTTCTAGAAATAAATTGTGAGCATTGAGGCACTCGGAATACTCTGCAGACTTCTAAGAATAGTATGATATTATAAAAGTTTATAAAATATGCTTTAGAAATAATAATTTTTTAAAAAACGTCGTGTTATTAGTACGTAGTAAAGTACGTTAATACATATGGAATGTTTAAACCAGTACATATGTATTTAAATAATCTGCAATATAAAGAGGGTGTATTAGAGTATTAAAATAATTGTTAAATAATCGATAGAAGTGTAATTATTGTTAAAAAGCTCCGAGTATAAGATCTGTCAACCATCTTCCTCGAAATGCACCTTGAGACTGGCACTTTCTCTTCTATGAAAATACTTTTATTGAAAGTTGTTTATATGACTTTTCGAACGTTGCGCTTGTGTATAAAAAGGGAATAATTCATCTAATTGATAAAATTTCAAATCCCAACACTCTTATTTTACCATGTTTACATTTTTATGTAATAGTTTAAACTAATGCACATTTGTTGTTACGTTCCTGCATAGTGATGACTTTGGAGGGGGATATTATCATCGATAAGAATATCACATAGAAATTATTTAATATGTAGAGTATGTTAAAAGGTTTGTAATTCTTAAAACAGTACGGATGTGTTTAAGCAATCTGAAATATAAGGAAAGTGTATTATAGTATTAAAATAATTGTTAATTAATCGATAAAAATGTTTATATTGTAATACAAAAGCATGGATTTAGCTGTTGATTTTCTTTCCTCTTCGAAATCTTCTGTTAGACTGATACGTTGTAACATAAAAAAGTTTTTTCGATAGAAAGTTGTTTATATGGCTTTTTTAAAGTTGCGCATGTGTGTATACCAAAAATATTAATTGTATTAAATAGAAATTAGGATTATAACGTTCTGATTTTCTTTTTTTTAAATTTCCTATATTTTTTTTTTTATTATGTACTTTGCAGTATTTCATTTTATGAAATTTTAAGTATTTAAAACGCGAGAGCTTCAGTTGTACAAAGTATTGTACGTGTAGGGCAAAGAGTGTACTTTTATTTAAAATAAACTTTATCAAAATTTGACCACTGTAAGTATAAAAAATATTAAAGAGAACGTTCCAAAAATATAAAAGCTATGTGTAAAATAAATGTACTTTGTAGCATTTCATTTCATGGGATTTTAAGTACTTAAAACGCGAGAACACTAGCCTTAAAAAATATTGTAAGTGTAGGGCAAAGCGTGTACTTTTATTTAAAATAAACTTTATTAAAATTTGACCACTGTAAGTATAAAAAATATTTACAAGAACGTTCCAAA